TGTTGATGCTAATTTGCTAAAAGCGACGATACGAGGAAAAATTTTTAAAGCTCAGTTGTCTTGAGTTACTCAGAGAATGATTACATCTGATTTCCTTGTTATCTGATACTCAACCAATCAGACACACTCAAGGATTTACAGCGAAATGGTGAAATATTATGATAGAGAATGAGCTGTTGGTGTCATACTTGTGGCTCCTGGTGCCATACCTGTGGCTCCTGGTGCCATACCGTTTATCTGGGTTTTCTGCGTGAGTCCGGGCATACCGGCCCCTGGGCCTCTGGTGCAGGCCTCCTTAGGTCATCCAGGATGCGACCCACTCCATCGACTAAATCCAGGTACCCATTTTACTGATGGGACAGACTGACAACAGGTGCGAAAGAAACACGTCCAATGTTTTAGCCTGGGCGAATCGAACCCAGGCCCTCACCGGATGAAGCGAGAGCGCTTAACCCAGGCCACCAGAGCCTGAGACTCCGGAGTGCCATCAACTGTGGCTCTGGGTGCCATACTGGCTCCTTCATGGTCTATCACGTTTGCTATATACTCAAAGTTAAGCGAACCTGCAAGAAAAAACTGGCAGATTTTCACTAGGTGCCAGATCAACCAGGCTGTGACGGATATGTGGAGCAGCGGGCCTCCAGCAGCATCAGCCTGGTTGACCAGGCAAGCATCAGACGAGCCTGGCCCATGGCCGGGCTCAGAGAGTAGAAAAACTCTCGAAATTCTTCAAAGGTATATCAAAGGGGTCATACAACGCCTGAGGAAAGAGAAGTAATCAGGTTTGGTCAAAGGGGAAATTTAATCCAACCTCTTGGATCAAGATCCCTTCAGCAGCATTAAGGGATCTCCCAGATTACAAAAATGAATTTGCAGCTTTATATGAACACTCACTTAAGAGACTAGGCTATTAAATTATCAGAACTCTTCATAAACAATATTTTTAAGTCACGAATTTCGTAGAACTGACATTTTTATTTTTATCTTATCACGTAGTTTTATTATGAGCACATTTCTCATAATTTACAAAAAAAAAATGTTATTAGTTTATCAGTTATATAACTGCAGCCTAAAAAAGTTTAGACAGATTATGCTAAAACTGAATTAATTTGAGGATTTTAGACTTTTAATGCTGGCCTTTTTAACGACCCTTCATCACGTACACATCTCTCACGCTATCACTGACCACTATGAGGCCTGGTCACAGACCGGGCCGCGGGGGCGTTGACCCCCGGAACTCTCTCCAGGTAATCTCCGGGTAAACTAAACAAATTCTTGACTGCAGTCTTTCAGCATCGAGCACTGCGCTTAGTGCTGGACGTGAGGTGGCAGGACCTCCGACGAGTCACTCCACATTAGTAATGGCATACCAGCTCTGAAGTCTTCTGGAAGACTCAAGACATACCATGATTTATGGACAACCTACCTTGATGATACTATCAGGCGCCCTCACAACATTCTAAATCTCAAGCACCCCTGCCTCTGTCTCTCTTTCTATTTGGTTCTCATAACTTAGTCACTCTTCCTACCGTTGGCAGGATGGATCTTTGAGGACTTCCTTTTTTGCTTTGCTAACACCATTTTGACTACTTAACACCTCATCCGCCATGTTATTAACCACCACTGCCGGTGCCACTGGACATGTGCCTCTGGGTGGTGTAAGGAGAGCCTTGCCCACTGTTGCTCTGTCTGCCGCGGCGCCCATTAGCTCTTCCTGAACCTGACCTGCCATGAACTGTTAGCAACTGATCACAGTGGCAGTGCCATCCATTGATTTTGCTGCTGGGTGTAGCGTCGGGTCTTTTTCTTTTATTTTAGTCCTTTCTCTGTCCCCACTTCTCTTCTTCTATCCCCATTACTCACTCACCCCTTGCGGGTCTTGAGTCAGTTAGGCTGTTTCTTTACCTGGTTACTGTTTACTTCGAGTTTACCTGGAGTTCACTTCGAGTTTACCTGGAGTTTACTTCGAGTTTACCTGGAGTTTACTTTGAGTTTACCTGGAGAGGGTGTGGAAAATTACATTTATCTGAATGTATCAGTATATACATAACAGTAAATAAACAAAGATAATTATTATTTATCAGTTAGACAAGTAGGAATTTGGGACACCTAGGTCGCAAAAAAAATGTCCCCCTTCGATACCTACCACTCATATCCACAAGTTGCTCTGGACCCATTAATTACAAATGAAATATGTATCACCAGGAATGTTGGTAAATATGTAAATTTGTGGACTGTATATTAAAATAATAAATGATTATATATATATACACATACACATAACAGAAGGAGAATATCTTAAAATCACTCGCCAATTTGACTGGAGATCAAGGTGCATCATACTCAGAAAACCTCACTGTCTATCTATGAAAATAACACTGGCCAGAGTTAAACAACAGACTTATCTGAGGTTCCTGGAATTGTCCTGTCCTGTCGCCTGATATCTCAAGTTATGCAGGAAAGCACATCCAACAATTTCGTCTCCTATTTGAGAGGTGTCAGCCCAATTTTAACCTCTAGAGCACGAAAAACTCTTCCCATTATACACTACCGTTAGTGTCCAATTCAAACAAAATGGCGACTGTCCTTCTGCGCAGGCGCAGCTTCCCGTTTTCGATAACATAAATTTTATTAAATACAGTATGGCCATCTATTTACATATAACTACTGTATTTCTGGAAAATATATACAGTATTTTCCACAGAGGGTTTCAGGGGAAACTTACGGAAACTTATTCCACGTAACGTTGATAGTGTAAGCATAAGCAGCCCTTAATATAACCGCTTACATAAACACTTGTATATAATATTTGACATTTTACAGATATAAGTAGTTACATAGAGTATACAATAATCTTAGGAGAAAATAACATCGTTATAGAATAGACATAGGTCAAAAACAGTAGTATAGATAGTAGCCAATGTTTTAAAACTTCAGAGATCAGGAGAGACGCTGGTTAGTCAGTTAGAGCTGACACGGAGAAGTTAGGATGTGTAGCCATGACACCGGCAATTCTTACTAAGGACGAGGAACTTTTTGCCAATGAAGCTTCCTTAAACCCCGAGGATAACTGTTAATATCCTTTAAAGCCTCAGCAGACTTGGTCTACGTTTTATTCAGCATTACTGGCCAGTTTTACTGTTGAAGCGTGGACTGGATGTCCTGTGGGAGATAAATGGCGGAAGGTAACATCGTAGCCCGTCAATTTCTGAGGTATCGAGTAAGGAAGTGAAGCTCCTCCTCTATTTCAAGTAAGTAAAATTGCCGTGTACTATTAGGAAACATAGCAAACAAAAATTCTTGTGGATTTCTCTGGTATGAGCCATTGGCGTGCCCGAGTTATCTCAGGATATTTGTGTCGACAATTTTAACTAGAGTAGCTGCACGTTAGGAGGCAGTTCGCTGAAAAATCCCAATATAGGCCTTTTTAAAATGTTTTACAATGAACTGTGGCGAAGAGACAGTGATTTTTTATGTTTTAATATGTGACACACTACTGCATTTAGGAAACTTAAAGTGACCTACACGTACTTGAGAGTCCTGGGATACAAAATATTGTCTGTATACTATATTAAATCCTATAATAAAATTAATTCATCAATAGCTGCTTGTGTCAGAAATCGAGTCTTTATTAGTGAACGGAGTGTCGAGCCTCCACCATTCCATGTGATAATTACATCAGATGCTAATTACAATTGTTAAGGTCTGGACCTCAAAAACTGTCTAGTAGGCTCCAAGCTTTCTGCTTGTCAGATGTAAATTGTTTTAGGATATTCCTTTTAACTCTGGCGTGTGGATAATTTCGAGTTGTCATGAATTCTTTTTGCTTTTATGAAGGAAGATTATGGTATCATCCTTCATGGCCGGGAGTGCAAGTACAGGTATGTTAATACCGACAGATTGTGGGAATAATAAAATATGCCCAACCAAGGCATTTAATAAAGATATTTCGTCACTGGTGGCTTTATCAGTGCTTATCAGTAAAACCACCGGTGGCGCAACGTCTTCCTCAATAAATATCTTCATTATTCGCGTCTTATTCTCTGCATGAAGGGAGTTCAAAAAAAATTTTAATGATTCATTTTGTACCTACAGCCTGTCATTTACGGGAGAAGGAAAAAAATCCATATAGCTGGTGAAGAGCTACTCAAGCAATTGAGACTAACCATTAACACACCAAGCACTTAACAGACCATCCATCACCAGACCGAATATCGTCAACAGCAGTGATGGTCCCCAAGTGCAAAGTGTGCAGTGATGCGTATTCTCCAGGTAATAAGGAGCCTGTGTCCCTGCAGTGCGGTCACAGCTTCTGCAGGGCCTGCCTCATGAAGATCAGGGAGACGGCAGGGGTGCTCAAGTGTCCCACCTGCAGGAAGATCCACGACCACCCGGCAATTGAGAACCTCACTGTCAACTACGATCTCATGACGGCCAGCGTCACCGCTACCAGGAGCGTATCCGGCTCAGATATCACTTCCATGGGCTCATCGCCCCCGCAGAAGGTATGCTCATGGCCAACTTACGCTATTATTACGCTCATAGGGAAGCGCTAAAATAATGAGACATACAGCAACTGGGAAATTAATTCTACTTCTTCGTCTTATTATTATTGCTATTATTATTATTATTATTATTATTATTATTATTATTATTATTATTATTATTATTATTATTATTATTATTATTATTATTATTATTAATTACTAATTATTATTATTAATGATAGGAAATGCTATACCCTTAGGAGTAATATAACTGGGAAACGGGAGGTAATCAGGTTTGATCTAAGGAAAGAGGAAGTAGCAACAGTTCCCTGGCTCAAAAGTCTTCCCCAGCATCAGTGCACCTAGTGAAGTGCTCTCTGGGGCAAAAATACTAGTTATTGGAAGCGCAAATACACATTCACCAATGTTTGTGTTTCAGGGCGTTATAGCCATCGTGGTGAAGGACCTGACTGACCAGCAGTTCCGCCTGCAGATACAGGTCAATTCGACGGTCAAGGACCTGAAGAAGGTGCTACAGGCTCAGTACGGCATTGCTCCTGAGAACACCCGCCTCCTCTTCCGCGGTCGTCGCCTGGAAGACCAGAAAACACTGCAGGACTACAACATCGCTACTGGAAACATTATTCAGATGTCGACGAAGTATGTGGGAGGCGGCGAGACCACCACCAGACGATAGGACTTGAACTATGTGTTCCTCTGTATCACCTCAGTGGCCACTTTACCGTACCCCTAACAGTTCATGCGATCAGCACCAACGTTAGAAAAACAAGATAACAGGTGTCTTAAACGCGCCCTTATCGAACACACCTAAAAATTTATGGGCGTCGTATTTTCCGACTTCCTACCGAACTTACTTTCAGAAATATATTTATATAGGCTCATTTAAAGATTAAAGATTCTTTACTTCAGCATGATACAATGTTTGTACAGAAGTGGGTGACATATAGGAGTACATGCAGGAAGCCCCTTAGTATACAGAGCATTTGTTTACATTGAGATACTCTATTGACCCCGAGTGAAGACATTTCGATTTGCGCATGTAGGCTTGCTTCTTTGTTATAGTTCCATCTTTTCGATATCGCAGTAAGCTTTCTTACGAAGTTTCTCAATATATTGTGTTTTTTTTTGGTAAAAGGGATTGAACAAGTACATCCAAAATTGAATATCTCGTACTATGAAGATCTTTTCACGCTTTATTCAGTTTTGGAAGTACTGTTTCAGTCATATTTGCGAATAAATTGGGCTAGGTAGAAGAGTTTTACAAGGGAGCTGACTACATATGTATTGGGCCTGATCAAGACTGGCCGTCTGCTTGCTGATATCATTTTTTAGTTATCATTCTGGTCTACTGTCTTCACTCAGGTATTGATATGGACACTGATGAGAAGACAAAAAATGCAGAAGCAGCTCGACTGTAGCTATGTTTCGCCCTGTGTAGCCATGATGAAGCTACTCAGAGGGAACCCTTGTCTCAATATATGTACTGCCCAATAGTGTGCTCGTTACTGTAGACAGTACGACACTGGGCCCCCTTAGTGACACCATTGATCCTCAGTGTTAGTTATGTATCAATGCCTCAGTGTTATTCACTGCCCTTCACTCTCCCCTAACTCATCAATACCTCAGTGTTATTCACTGCCCTTCACTCCCCTAACTCATCAATACTTCAGTGTTATTCACTGCCCTTCACTCTCCCCTAACTCATCAATACCTCAGTGTTATTCACTGCCCTTCACTCTCCCCTAACTCATCAATACCTCAGTGTTATTCACTGCCCTTCACTCTCCCCTAACTCATCAATACTCAGTGTTATTCACTGCCCTTCACTCCCCCTAACTCATCATACCTCAGCTGTTATTCACTGCCCTTCATCTCCCCTACTCATCTAATACCTCATGTTATTCATGCCTTCACTCCCCTACTCATCAATTCCCAGTGTTTATTCACTGCCCTTCACTCCTCGCCTAACTCATCAGTCCTCACTGTTATCGCAGCTTTAATGTGCCAAATCTTTTTTTTTATGGGCCCACCCTTCACGTAATTGCCAATAAGCACAATCTAATGTCCTCGTTGTACACATTCTCCCTGTCTAGACAATGGTTCCCAACTTTTTCAGGTTGCCGCCTCCTTGCTCCGAGGCCACATCCCCCCACTAGCGCCCCCCGCCCACTAGCGCCCCCCGCCCACTAGCGCCCCCCGCCCACTAGCGCCCTGCTCCCCCGCCCACTAGCGCCCCCCGCCCACTAGCGCCCCCCGCCCACTAGCGCCCCCCGCCCACTAGCGCCCCCCCCCCACACACACATACAAACACACCTCTTTGTTTACTGCAAAATCAAAACAACAACTAATCTAACACTATAAAGAAGCGTATTTATTTCACAAATAAAAATTAACATAGTAAACCAATTTATTTAACAATGTAAAAAGGGTAAATTTTCTTCTCATCTGTAACTCATTTGTCTTCTCAGTTTTAATGAGATGGATGTTCTTGGTGCAGAAACATCAGTTTCTCAACGTCAGTCTTGAAGGCGCCAAGAAGTCTTAGTTTCCCGCGTTCAGTAATTTCAGTTTATTTGCTGGGAAAGAATCATGGTGACTGTACTGAAGCCTCGCTTTACTAAATATGATGTTGGGAAGGCAATTAAGTACATCTTGGCTTTGTTCCACAGTGTAGGGTAGTGGTCACAATGTTTTTTTTCTTTATTTTTGTAACCAAAAAATCTTGATCTGATTTTTGAACTTCGGCCTCGGCTCAATGTTATTTTGGAGCGAAATCAGCTCCTCCTCCATCATTTGTTTCCTCGTTGCTGATATCTAGGAATGGATTGATTACCCAGTTTAGTATTTTAAGTAAAAAAAAAAAAATCCTGAAATCTGTCAGACATGTCTCTATACAGCTCATTCAGATGAGTACAATAAATCTTATGTTAATTTTATTCTTTGTAAAGCATTTTTGTTACTTAAGTTTTCGTGACTTAGATTTTGTCATATGGATTTTGTTAAACAAAAGCTCCCTTGGTTCTGCACCCCCCCCCCACCGCCCCTCTTTCCTCAGCGCCCCCCTGAATCTTTCCGACGCCCCCAGGGGGGGCGGTACCGCCCACTTTGGCAATTACTGCTCTAGACTATATTTAGCTTAATGCCTTTAATGTGAATAATAAGTACTTCAAGGAACTACTATCAAAGACTTATCAAGGACTGTTCTTTGATGACGTGAGAAATCACGAAAGCGCTCTGAATTTCACTTTTTTTTCACTGTGGTTATTCTGCTTATTAAAGTATTGTTTTTTTCTTGTGAATATATATATATATATATATATATATATATATATATATATATATATATATAATATATATATATGCAAAAGTCTTATGAAGGAAGAGTAATATACTATAATATCACTTATAAGCATCTCATTAATTACTTTTGTTAATATAAAAGCATCATAGAGACCACAGGTCAGTTCTGGAGAACATGTTGCCTTTGTTCCAGTAAATATAATTTTAATAAAAGATTTACAAACTCGTTTTCATTTGCGTTTTCCACATGATTAAGACTGCATTTGCATGAAGAGCTAAACCCGTATGGGTCATTCGACAGCTTGTCACCGAAGGTCTCTAAACGTCCATATAAACATATAATCCGCATATAGAGGAGAGGAGCTTACGACGACGTTTCGGTCCGACTTGGACCATTTACAAAGTCACAATAACGAAAAGGAGAGCAGGAGGTAGTAGTAGTTGTAATCAAGAGAATTATTATTATAATCAAAAAGAAGCGCTAAATCACAAGGGCTATACAGCGCTGCAGGGCAGGAAGGAAGCGAGGGCATCAGTTGGCAAAAGGGAGGTGGATGAGTAACAGGTTACGGAGAACAGCGGGGTAGTGGATGGTGTAAGGGCAGAGGGCAGCAAGAGATTGAGGTAGAAAGGGCTGAGGGGAGTGTGAAAGGTATCATCATCAGAGTTTGTGGAGTAAATCAGCCGTTGTCAAGAAGTCAATGAGAGAGTCAGGATTAAAGGAGAGTCCATCAGCAAGAAGGGAAGGTAAAGAGAGAGTAGTAGAACGAAGAAGACGTTGGAGGTAAATTCTGCGTGCTCGTTGATAGAGAGGGCAGTCTAACAGAATGTGGCTAATCGATACTGGAACTTGACACTGCTCACAGAGAGGAGCAGGGCGCCTCTCCATGAGGTACCCGTGAGTAAGACGAGTGTGGCCAATGCGCAGGCGGGAGAGAGTAGTCTCCCAACCACGGCACTGATGACAAGAAGACGGCCAGTAACCTATGCTCGGTTTAATAGAATGAAGTTTGTTACCGAGCAGAGAAGACCAACGCTGTTGCCAACGGGTGTGAAGGTGGGTAGCTATTACAGCAAAATAGTCAGGAAATGGAACACCTCTATATGAAATTGGTAGGTCATGTACTGCTGACCGCGCAGCAGTGTCTGCCTGCTCATTGCCCTGTACGTCAACATGACCAGGGACCCAACAAAAAACAATATCTTTATGCTTGGTAGAGATACGGCGTAGCCAAAGTTGGATACGGAGAACTAGGGAGTGAGAAAAAAAGGCATAATACTGGAACAACATAGAAGCTTATGACGACATTTCGGTCCGTCCTGGACCATTTATAAAGTCACACTGACACAAAAAGATTGGTATAATGTTTGTCAGGAAACAGGACAAGTATTTCCTGACGTGAGTCTAACCCAAAAAGAGAGGGAGAGTCAGTATATATTGGCGAGGCGGACAGGGACGGGAACAAGAGAGAAAGTAGTGGATAGTTTGGCTGACAGTAACCATCCAGGAAGGTACTAGCCTCCTGTCATGTCAGTCGTGATTTTACTGTGAGTAGTTTGGTTGACAATAATCATCCAGGGAGGTACTACTCTCCTGTCATGTCAGTCGTGATGGTACTGTGAGTAGTTTGGTTGACAGTAATCATCCAGGGAGGTACTACTCTCCTGATATGTTAGTCGTGATGGTACTGTGAGTAGTTTGGTTGACAGTAACCATCCAGGAAGGTACTAGCCTCCTGTCATGTCAGTCGTGATTTTACTGTGAGTAGTTTGGTTGACAATAATCATCCAGGGAGGTACTACTCTCCTGTCATGTCAGTCGTGATGGTACTGTGAGTAGTTTGGTTGACAGTAATCATCCAGGGAGGTACTACTCTCCTGATATGTTAGTCGTGATGGTACTGTGAGTAGTTTGGTTGACAGTAACCATCCAGGGAGGTACTACTCTCTTGTCATGTCAGTAGTGATGGTACTGTGAGTAGTTTGGTTGACAGTAACCATCCAGGGAAGTACTACTTTCCTGTCATGTCAGTCATGATAGTACTGTGAGTAGTTTGGTTGACAGTAACCATCCAGGGAGGTACTAGCCTCCTGTCATGTCAGTCGTGATGGTACTGTGAGTAGTTTGGTTGACAACCATCCAGGGAGGTACTACTCTCCTGTTATGTCAGTCGTGATGGTACTGTGAGTAGTTTGGTTGACAGTAACCATCCAGGGAGGTACTACTATCCTGTCATGTCAGTCGTGATGGTACTGTGAGTAGTTTGGTTGGCAGTAACCATCCACGGAGGTACTAGCCTCCTGTCATATCAGTCGTGATGGTACTGTGAGTAGTTTGATTGACAGTAACCATCCAGGGAGGTACTACTCTCCTGTCATGTCAGTCGTGATAGTACTGTGAGTAGTTTGGTTGACAGTAACCATCCACGGAAGTACTACTCTACTATGTCAGTCGTGATGGTACTGTGAGTAGTTTGGTTGACAGTAACCATCCAGGGAGGTACTGCTCTCCTGTCATGTCAGTCGTGATGGTACTGTGAGTAGTTTGGTTGGCAGTAACCATCCACGGAGGTACTAGCCTCCTGTCATATCAGTCGTGATGGTACTGTGAGTAGTTTGATTGACAGTAACCATCCAGGGAGGTACTACTCTCCTGTCATGCCAGTCGTGATAGTACTGTGAGTAGTTTGGTTGACAGTAACCATCCAGGGAGGTACTACTCTACTGTCTGTCAGTCGTGATGGTACTGTGAGTAGTTTGGTTGACAGTAACCATCCAGGGAGGTACTACTCTCCTGTCATGTCAGTCGTGATGGTACTGTGAGTAGTTTGGTTGGCAGTAACCATGCACGGAGGTACTAGCCTCCTGTCATATCAGTCGTGATGGTATTGTGAGTAGTTTCGCTGACAGTAACCATCCAGGGAGGTACTACTCTCCTGTCATGTCAGTCGTGATGGTACTGTGAGTAGTTTCGTTGACAGTAACCATCCAGGGAGGTACTAGCCTCCTGTCATGTCGTTATTTGATAATAGTGCAGGCAAACCGAAACGTCGTATAAAGCTTGTGGGTTAGATGTGAATTGTTCCTGTGACTGTATTGTTCCAGGGACGGTATTGTTCCTGCCATGGTATTGTTCCAGCCACAGTATTGTTCCTGCCATGGTATTGTTCCTGCGACGATATTGTTTCTGCCATGGTATTGTTCCAGCCACGGTACTGTTCCAGCCACGATATTGTCCCATCCATTAAGTTTTGCCCATTTAGTCTCTCCTTGAGACTCAGTCTATGCGTGTGTGTGTGCGCGCCTGGACAGCTTATCTCTGATAAGATTATACACCATCCTCAATTTTGCCAACTACACACAAAGCAACAACATAAATCAAAGTTATTTATTTGCATATAAACCACATACATTACAGGTGTCTAAAACGTGATTTCTATGTAAAAATTAATAATGATTCAACAATAGACAGTTACATTATTTCAAGCGAGGAAGAGGTGTAAGATTGAGAGAATATTCCACTAGGAGGCAGCATTGAAAGGCTTATATCAGTCACTGTATGAGGCGGCTGACACACTCGCAGAAGTGGTGGAAGGTGGAGGAGCTGCCGTCCTGGTGTAGTTACCTGTTTGTGAGTAGTTTATTGTAGTTACAGAGTCCATTAGGGTAGGTTCCTCGGTGCTGGTGAGGGGCTCTTGATCTAAAGAATTGGACTTGTACTCCAGTTCCTTGAATCGAATCTGAATGCCTTCCATTCTTACAGACTGTGACTCGTGTAGGTTTAGCTCTCCCTCAAGAATGTAATATTAATGTAGTTACGACGGCAGAGTTATGTTGATGGTGTACCATCTTCAGTGTTTGAAGCTACAACAGTAGAAAAGTGTTTCTGGCGTACCATCTTCAGTGTTCACGAAGGTGTTACTGTGTCTTGAGCTTTTAACTGTAAAAATATTCTAATTCTCTCTTCCTCGCCCAGACAGACACTCAGGTGAGTATTTTTGTGAAATGTTTTGACGTTTGATTTGCATCAAAGAATCTAATGTAAATTGCGGGAGCTTAGTTCTTTATTCTTAGAGCAATTACCTTTTTTTTATGACAACGAGATCAAAGTTATGGTAAAAAATATGATGATATGTACTTCCTTCAGGAGAACTGACGAATGATTTTTTGAGACAGTAGTATAAATTTGTACAGTGAAAACATCCCAATAATGTCAAACTTCATTTACTTTCTCGCTTCATAAGAACAACTACACATCGATACCATGCCTAACCCTTCTAGGGTAGGGTAGGTGCCTGAGCCCGAGCCTTTAGCTCATAAGACTGTCATTCCCATTTGCCTCCTTGGGGCGGGGATGGCAGACCAGAGAGGCCTAGCTTGTGGCTAGGCCTGGGGACAGTTGGTCCCAAAGATGAGGAGGTACTTGTGCCTCCTCCCATAGGAGACTTAGGTCCCAGACACTCCCTAAAGAGGGAGCCAAGGCCGGGCCACCACTTGGAAAAGGCCCGGGGCGGGAGAATACCGGCTAATATTTAATAATAATAATAAAAAGAACAACTACATGCAAGCATCATCTAATGCTTCTAATTATAACAGTAATTTTTAAAGAGGTGGACTGGTAAGCCAGTTGAAGGCCTTGGTGAAAGGGCCATAAGCTCCAGCTGAAGGTCATACATGACTAAGGCCCTCGTCAGGAAACAGTCGTCCTGTTTCCTGACAACCTACTTAACCCAACTGTCGTCAACAGCGTGTTCATTAATTGAAATAACCATTTCCGACAGGTGGACCAGGTATGCCATCATCAAACCTGCCTGCTACTGTAACCAGGGAGTAACAACATTATCTTTGAGTCACCCCATCAAGAGTAAGGATAATGGAAGGGAAACACAACTATTTTGACGAAGAACTCTACTCTCGTCAGCTCTATGTCTTGGGTCACGACGCGTCCTCCAGGATGGCCACAGCTTATGTTCTTATCTCTGGCCTTGGCGGGCTGGGCGTCGAGGTCAGTACAGGTCATAATCGGGTCAGGTCACGCTTGGTCGTCAGGGAAAGTCATTACTTATTCACCAAGCACTGAAATTCATTCTTACTCACGAAGCAGAGAAATTCATTCCTAAGAATGAATTTCTCTGCTTGTTTTTTTTTCTGCTCTGTTTTTTTTTGGAAAAAAAAAAACACATTTTAACCTGTTAACTCACCAAGTACTGAAACTCATTCTTACCTACTCAAAAAGCACTGAAACCTATTCTTACCTACTCAAAAAGCACTGAAACTCATTCTTACCTACTCACCAAGCACTGAAACTCTTACCAACTCACCAAGCACTGAAACTCATTCTTACCTACTCACCAAGCACTGAAACTCTTACCAACTCCCCAAGCACTGAAACTCATTCTTACCTACTCACCAAGCACTGAAACTCTTACCTACTCACCAAGCACTGAAACTCTTACCAACTCACCAAGCACTGAAACTCATTCTTACCTACTCACCAAGCACTGAAACTCTTACCTACTCACCAAGCACTGAAACTCTTACCAACTCACCAAGCACTGAAACTCATTCTTACCTACTCACCAAGCACTGAAACTCTTACCAACTCACCAAGCACTGAAACTCATTCTTACCTACTCACCAAGCACTGAAACTCTTACCTACTCACCAAGCACTGAAACTCTTACCAACTCACCAAGCACTGAAACTCATTCTTACCTACTCACCAAGCACTGAAACTCTTACCAACTCACCAAGCACTGAAACTCATTCTTACCTACTCACCAAGCACTGAAACTCTTACCTACTCACCAAGCACTGAAACTCTTACCAACTCACCAAGCACTGAAACTCATTCTTACCTACTCACCAAGCACTGAAACTCTTACCAACTCACCAAGCACTGAAACTCATTCTTACCTACTCACCAAGCACTGAAACTCATTCTTACCTACTCACCAAGCACTGAAACTCATTCTTACCTACTCACCAAGCACTGAAACTCATTCTTACCTACTCACCAAGCACTGAAACTCATTCTTACCTACTCACCAAGCACTGAAACTCATTCTTACCTACTCACCAAGCACTGAAACTCATTCTTACCTACTCACCAAGCACTGAAACTCATTCTTACCTACTCACCAAGCACTGAAACTCATTCTTACCTACTCACCAAGCACTGAAACTCATTCTTACCTACTCACCAAGCACTGAAACTCATTCTTACCTACTCACCAAGCACTGAAACTCATTCTTACCTACTCACCAAGCACTGAAACTCATTCTTACCTACTCACCAAGCACTGAAACTCATTCTTACCTACTCACCAAGCACTGAAACTCATTCTTACCTACTCACCAAGTACAAAGCCTCACGAAATCTACAGAGTAAATAATCACATGGAAATATCCACCAAGAGGTGTCTCTCAGTTTATAAACACTGAGAGTTTGCTAGATTTGGATTTTGTCGCCGAAGTGGCTGGTTTATTGTGAACCCTAAATCCATCCTGTGTGGGGTAGTGGCTAGTTTATTGTGCACTATATATCCATCTCGTGGATGGTGACACAAGAGCATATGGATGCATAAAAGGCCTAGGAACTAGGCCCTAAAAGGGTTAACAAAAGTACATCTGCAACCAAATTTAGGCTATTTACTTAATATGTCCGGTATCTTATTTTTATTAAAATAGATACCGTGATATATCAGACACGTTGTTATACTGTCTATTTCTGTATTCTTCAATAAATGGACAATTAAGCACATAGCAAAGTATGTTGACCACATACTTTGCAGTTAGTTTTATCATCAGCTGTGTGTCTGCCAAACTGCCAGATGTACTTATAACCAAGTCTGGCTACTACAACATCAGTGAGTCTGTTCACATTGAAAGTTGTTCCGTAAATATGCATACCTTAGTTCATGTTGTCAGAGCGAGTGACAGATCTACTACTTACGCTTCTAACAGATCTACTACTTACGCTTCTAACAGATCTACTACTTACGCTTCTAACAGATCTACTACTTACGCTTCTAACAGATCTACTACTTACGCTTCTAACAGATCTACTACTTACGCTCATAACAGATCTACTACTTACGCTTCTAACAGATCTACTACTTACGCTTATAACAGATCTACTACTTACGCTTCTAACAGATTACTACTTACGCTTCTAACAGATCTACTACTTACGCTTCTAACAGATCTACTACTTACGCTTCTAACAGATCTACTACTTACGCTTCTAACAGATCTACTACTTACGCTTCTAACAGATCTACTACTTACGCTTCTAACAGATCTACTACTTATGCTTCTAAAAGATCTACTACTTACGCTTCTAACAGGTCTACTACTTACGCTTCTAACAGATCTACTACTTACGCTTCTAACAGATCTACTACTTACGCTTCTAACAGATCTACTACTTACGCTTCTAACAGATCACTACTTACTCTTCTAACAGATCTACTACTTACGCTTCTAACAGATCTACTACTTACGCTTCTAACAGATCTACTACTTACGCTTCTAACAGATCTACTACTTACGCTTCTAACAGATCTACTACTTACGCTTCTAACAGATCTACTACTTACGCTTCTAACAGATCTACTACTTACGCTTATAACAGATCTACTACTTACGCTTCTAACAGATCTACTACTTACGCTTCTAACAGATCTACTACTTACGCTTCTAACAGATCTACTACTTACGTTCTAACAGATCTACTACTTACGCTTCTAACAGATCTACTACTTATGCTTCTAAAAGATCTACTACTTACGCTTCTAACAGGTCTACTACTTACGCTTCTAACAGATCTACTACTTACGCTTCTAACAGATCTACTACTTACGCTTCTAACAGATCTACTACTTACGCTTCTAACTGCGTTCCTATGGCATTCACACTCATTATTTACGTCTCTCCTAATATAATTCCCAATGCTCGACATAGATATATCAAAGTTATATTCTACATTTTCCTCAGGGCTAATTTATAATTTACTTTAATCCCTATTTTAGGAATTAAGGTATTATTGACTGGCGTGAAGAGGTGACTTGTCGATAGACATGAAGCTCCATTAACCAACCATTGTAAATGGTTCTCACATACGTTTCTCAGATCGCCAAGAACGTCATTCTGAGCGGAGTCAAGTCCGTGACCTTGCAAGACACGAAGACAACGACCATTCATGATCTGTCCAGCCAGTTCTTCCTGACTCACGACGACCTGGGCAGGAACAGAGCCCAGTCGTGCTGTGGTCGTCTGGCAGAACTCAACCATTATGTTCAGGTGACGACCACGACACGACCTCTGGATGACCACCTCCTCCGGGGCTGCAGCGTTGTCGTACTCACAGGTGGGCGTACCCTGAAGAGAGCTCTTGATTCAAGGAATATGAGCTGCTCTTCTACCCCCCTCATCCCTCTTTCTTGGATCAGACCTGATTACCTCCTATTATTTTGGTGCTGTATGACCCCTAGGGTTTAGCGCGTCTCCATGAATATTATCTTAATAATATAATATTAATTAATAATAATAATAATAATAGAAATAATAACTAATATATAAATAATGCTTAACATATTAATATAATAATAATATAGTAATATTAAATGTTAATAATAATGCAAATAATATTTATTATCAATAAAAATAATGCAGAAAGTATTGCTTCAAGGAATACAATGCTATTAATAACACTCCTTGAAATATTTTGCTATACGTATGTAAAGAAACCTTGTTTTGGTCACTAAATATTCTCTTTCTCTCTTTCCCATCCACTCACAATTGCCTCTTGACACACCTGGCCCCTCTTACGTGTATGCAAACACCTGTCAATCTCAGACTCAGCGCTGGAAGAGCAGCTGTATGTGTCCTCAGTGTGTCGCAGCCTCGGCGTGGCTCTCGTGGTGGCCTCCTCCAGGGGGCTCTTCGGCTCTGTCTTCTGCGACTTCGGCGAGAATTTCCAGGTGTTGGATCCCAACGGCAGAGACCCTGCTAGCTTCCTCGTTGAGAGCGTCTCTAGGGAGGTATGTGAGGGAGGGGAATGAGAGTTGGGAGGGTAGGAAAGGAGAGAGGGAGGGGGTACAAGAGAGAAAGAGAGAGGGAGACGGAGTATATACTAGGCATGACTGCAGAAAAAAACATTACAGTGCAGAGTATGTTTTAAAAACGATGATCCCTTCTTGAGGGTGATTATTTTATCTCTCTTGCAGAAGGAAGGTGTAGTTACTCTACCGAAGAAGACCTTTCACGGCCTCAACAACGGTGATCTCGTGACCTTCTCCGGTGCCCAGGGCATGACCCAGCTCAACCTGCCTCACCAGCATCGTATTAAGGTTAGGGACGGACCTTGTTGGCATTGTTTATTTATTCATGTGGGCAAAATCACCTGACACAGGTTTTTGCCCTTGGTGACCCACTGAATGGCTCCTGTTGAGTTTCATATTTAATTGTGACATTGGTATTCTTTTAATTTTTAGTAATTAATACAGGAGAAGGAATTATTTGTAGTTTGGATGAGCATCTGAACTTTAGTATCTACGCGCCTCTGGCGAGACAGTGATAGAGTGAATGATGGTGAAAGTGTTTTTTTTCTGGTCACCCTACTTTGGTGGGAGACGGCCAGCGTGATAGAAAATAAAAATTGGTTAGTTGTGGCCTTGTTGCCACAAGATCACTATCATGGGTTATCGTAGGGGTGAACCGTAGACACGTTACTGAAACAGGCATAAGTATTCCCAGGAATCATAGAAAAGTCATAGGCTGGATATTGATTTAATGGTTGTGGCAGCAGAAAGCGATTTCTAAGTTACTGTGTCGCCTGGCAGGTATTGGATCAGTGACTGTGTGACAGTATGGTGATAGTGTTAGCACTGTTCTTCTGGCTGGGTAGCCCACGCACAGTGGATGAACAACTGTGTGCAGTTGTCCGATCAGAACCCTGGTAATTACAGTGTTATATGGCTGTTTTGTAAAACAAGTCTGAGCTTGATGCTCGAAGTGTGCATTTCATTTCTTGCAATTGACTGGACCAGTAGTATCGTCTGTCATAGTGATTACTATGATAATAGTTATATGCTCATACCTTGTGGCTAATTTGACAGTTTCGTCTGCAGCCTCGTTCCTCTAGATACCACCATGACCTGCAATCAAGGTCACGGTGGTTCTCCATTGCAATACTAGGGCCTCTAAGACGCTCAAGACATAGGTGGCTAGGTTTACAATGGTTTGTGGTCGAGTATGTCTGAGTGACTAGAGAACAACGATGGAGTCCATGTGAAGTACAACTTACTGCCGGTGCTGCAGGGAAGCATAACTTGGCGCTTGCAGTAATGCGCAGTTGTCAGTGCGTCTCCATCCACTGGAATCTCTATTGTGTTTGACTCCAGCTGCTGAACTATTGTTGACTGGATCTAGTGAACTATCTCTAAAATACAGTACACTCTTGAGATCCTCGGTTTAGCTATGCTAGATTGGATGTAGTTCAGTAGTCTCTCTGTGCCTTATGCTTATGCTGGCCTGCTGGCGAAGTCTTCATACAGAGATTTGTGTATTTAGACAGTGCTGAATGATTCACACGGCTTTAGCATTTCTTTTTAATAATAATTAATAATGCATAATAAATAATAATTTACAATAATAATAGTAATAATAATTATTATTTTATAATACTGTTACTGCTGCTAATAGTAATGTTTATTTCAGCAATACGTCATCTTTAAACTTTACTTTCTCCTTCTGTGTGTCACTTTACTTTTTGCTTTAAATGATGATTGACGACAAGGAGGTGTTACATCACTTTCCTTTCCCTACAGGTGTTGAGTCCCTCCAGCTTCAGCATAGGAGACACTCGAGGTTTCCGGAGTATGTAGGAGGAGGTGTGGCCAAGCAGGTTAAGGTGGGCAAAACCATGACCTTCAAGCCGCTGAAGGAGTCACTGGAGGACCCAAGTATCACCTGTGTGGACGTGGTCAAGGAAGACACCGTAGGTGTGGTTCATCTAGCATTCCTGGCGCTCCACGAGTACGTGGCTCTTCACGGTGACCTCCCCAGAACATGGTGTGAAGAAGATGCTGCAGAGTTCCTGCGAGTGTTTTACAAAGTCAATGAGTCAAGGAGGGCTCCAGTGGAGAACGTCAACGAGGATCTATTGAAGACATTTGCTTACACAGCAAGGGGTGAGTTGGCGCCTATTAATGCGGTGATTGGTAGCGTCGCTGCCCAAGAGGTGACAAAAGCCTGTACTGGTAAATTCACACCGTTATTCCAGTGGCTTTACTTTGACGCTGTAGAGTGCCTACCCGAGGACACTGAAAAGCTCTATCAAGGCGACTGTACTCCGAGAGGAGACCGCTATGACGCCCAGGTCGCTGTTTTTGGCAGAGACTTTCAGGACAAACTAGGAAAACTCAAGTACTTCATAGTTGGCGCCGGAGCCATTGGCTGCGAGCTCCTGAAGAACTTCGCCATGTTGGGGGTTGGTGCTGGCGAAGGTGGAAACATCACTGTTACTGACATGGACATCATCGAGAAGAGTAATTTGAATCGACAGTTTCTCTTCCGCCCGTGGGATGTTAAGAAGCCCAAATCTGAGACTGCGGCTGCTGCCGTGGCCAAAATGAACGCCAGTGTGCACATTACCGCCCACCAGGTGCGCGTCGGGCCGGAGACGGAGCATGTATACGATGCAACTTTCTACGAGGGTTTGGACGGTGTGGCCAACGCCCTAGACAATGTGGAGGCCAGGAGATATATGGACAGGTGCTGCTGGCATTACCAGAAGCCTCTGCTGGAGTCTGGGACGCTGGGTACCAATGGTAGTGTGCAGGTGGTGGTACCACACCTCACAGAGCGTTACACACATTATCAAGCCCCTTCAGAGAAGCCCATTCCAATGTGTACACTCAGAAACTTTCCCAGCGCCATAGAGCACACCTTGCAGTGGGCGCGGGATATGTTCGAGGGAGAGTTTTCTCAAGCTCCAGAAACCGCAAAACAATACCTTACAGGAATGAGGAAGATGGAGGAGATTCTCAAACTGCCCAACCAGCAGGATGTAGACACTCTGGTGATACTGAAGAGTGCGCTGGTCGACGACTGCCCGAGGTCCTACGCCGACTGTGTGGCTTGGGCAAGACGGCACTGGCAGGACCAGTTCCAAAACCAGATTTTGGAACTTCTTCACTATTTCCCTCCAGACCTCAGAATGAGTAATGGAGCACCATTTTGGTCCGGGACAAAGCGCTGTCCCCACCACCTAGTGTTCGATGCAGAGAATGAATTACACCTCGACTATATATACGCTGCAGCTAACCTCAAGGCAGAGGTTTACGGAATTCGGCAAGTGAGAGATCGATTAAAGACGAAAGATCTCGTGGCTGGTGTGTCCGTTGCTCCGTATCTCCCCAGACCTAAACTGAAGACCACAACACATGCTGTCAGTGACCAGATGGAGAAACTGTCGCTCTCCAACCTCCTGGAGGTCATCCCGCCTCCAGAGAGCCTGACAGGTGTCTCCATTACGCCTCTCACCTTCGAGAAAGACGATGACTACAATATGCATATTGACTTCATTGTAGCAGCATCGAACCTCCGTGCAGCCAACTATAATATCGAACCCGCCGACCGTCACAAGAGCAAGAGGATCGCTGGACGCATCATTCCGGCCATCGTAACCTCTACGGCTCTGGTCTCTGGCCTGGTGAGCCTTGAGATGCTTAAGGTGACCCAGGGACACAAGGACATCGCTCGTTACAAGAACAGCGAGTTCAACCTCGGCCTCTGCAGGTTCTGTGTGGTGGAACCTGAACCAGCAGAGGAAAACACGGTAAGATATAAGAAACGGACAAGCAGAAGAAAATTACTTTATCACAATGCATCTTTATCAGTACAGTTATTTATGCTTGTAAATAGCCCTTGATCCTAGGAACTGGAGCTGCCTTTCCCTTCCTCGGGCCAAACCTACTTTCCATTCTCCAAGGTGCTGTATGGCCCGCTATGGGTTTAGAGTTTCCTTATGATCATTTTCACTAACGCCTCTCTGTTCCTCCAGTACAACGAAGTGAAGTGGACACTCTGGGACAGGTTCGAGGTTGAGGGTGAACTGACCTTGGAAGAGTTTCTGCAGCACTTCAAGGAGAATCACGGTCTAGAAGTGACCATGGTCTCGGCGGGCAGGTTCACCATCCACTCTACACTCATACCCAAGACTGAGAGGAACAGGAGAAGAACCATGAAGTAAGACAGGAGATGTTCGCTCCCTCTGAGCTCTTTATCCAAGGAACTAGAGCTCCTCTCCTTTTCCTTGGATCAAATTTCGTATTTCATTGCCTGTCACTCCCCACACACACACACACACACACACACACACTATATATATATATATATATATATATATTATATATATATATATATATATATATATATATATATATATATATATATATATTTATATATATTTTTTTTTCAACAAACCGGCCGTATCCCTAATTTTGGCCTGCATAATTTCAAATTTCATCATTATACTGACTCAGAAATTGTGCAGACGGTTGTAAATCCACAGCAGCAAGCCAGTGGAGGAGAAGGCAGTGATTAAAATGAGGAAGATGTAGCAGAAAGTGTCTCTATTGATAGGTTACTTAAGTGTATTCTAACCTAACTACTCTAATCCGGCAAACTACAGGTCCCAATGATGCCGGATTAGTGATGGCCGACCTTTGAGATTTTCTTAAGCTTTTCTTTTCAACAGAATCACAGACATACTGAAGGAGGTGATGCAGGAGGCAAGCAAAGATGAAGACCATGCCACAGCAGACGAACCCACAGAGAGGAGAGAGCCCCCAGTGGGGCACGAGCCAGCAGAGTGATGTAAACCAGCAGAGAGCCCAGGGGGGCCCCTTGCTTGGTGCAGTGCTGATGCTGGACCTCTGTGCCGACGACAGGCAGGGGCAGGACGTGGATGTTCCCCACGTCAGATACTCCGTTTCCAGATAAGAAACCGATTCACAACCAAAAGGCTCTGGGTTCGATTTCCAGACTTGACGTACCATATTAGTGAGACTGCATACATCTCTGTTGTCCACGCTAACTTCATAGTAAAAAAATAATGGTTCCTGTGTATTAGCTATCGTGGGTACCTTCTCTCCTAAACAGCGGTGCCTTAATACCGGTGAAGGGCTCTTGATCCAACGAATTAGAGCTGTTCTTCCCTCCCTTAGATCAAACCTGATTGCCTCCCATTGTATTTATATTTGAGTCCTTTTGTTTTTTGATTGACGCTGATACAAGACTATATAGTTTAATATCTTTATTTGGTAACCCATACCCAGGGTGTGGGTGGTAGTCACACCATACCCAAGGTGTGGGTGGTAGTCACACCATACCCAGGGTGTGGGTGGTAGTCACACCATACAAGAGTGGGTGGTAGTACACCATTCCATGTGTGAGTGGGTACCACCATACCAAGGTGGGATGGTAGTTAAAAGATTACAGAGGCATATAATGGGTCCAGGGACTATATCTCAACATAACAGAGGTACATAATAGGTTTGGGGACTGTACCTTAACATTACAGATGCACATAATGGGTCCAGGAACTGTACCTCAACATTAAAGGGGCACATAATGGGTCCAGGGACCGGGCTGTAAAGTTTTGATAACTAAACAATTTACAATGGTAATGAACTATAGGTATATTTATATCTGGTTACAATCGTAATGAGTAATTTATGCAGACACGAATTAAATCACAAAAATATATTAAGAAATATTACTTTATATTTTAGCATTGCACAAGCAGCCTAGTTTTTTATAGCATTCAAAGTTACACCATGAATTCAAATAATCTCAAAACAACACTGTATTACAGTGTGTTACACTGTATTGCACTATTAGTGCTAGACTATCACACTGTAAGTGCTAGATTATATCACACTGTAAGTACTAGATTATATCACACTGTAAGTGCTCGATTATATCACACTGTAAGTGCTAGATTATATCACACTGTAAGTACTAGATTATATCACACTGTAAGTGCTAGATTATATCACACTGTAAGTGCTCGATTATATCACACTATAAGTGCTCGATTATATCACACTAAGTACTAGATTATATCACACTGTAAGTGCTAGATTATACCACATTGTAGGTGCTAGACTATATCATACTGTAAATGTTACACTGTCTCACACTACAAGCGCTGCACTGTGACAGCTTAACTCAAATTATAATGTCTTGTATAAGCCTCTTGTGTATTCATTTATACAACAAGATCTTTTCTTTTTCTGACATCAGTGAATATCAGGGTAAATGCGATGATTAACAGCCGGTGTCTCTTACTTGGAGGTTGTTTCAGGGGTCAACGCCCCCGCGGCCTGGTCCATGACAAAGCCTCGCAAAGAATCGATGCCAATAGCAATTGGTGTTCCCAGGCGGTCATCCACCCAAGTACAAACCAAACCCAGCGTTGCTTAACTTCGCTGATCGGACGAGAAGTGGTGCATTCAACCGAGATATACGCACTGAGAGGTGTATGTCTTAGTGCATACAAGCTAAGAGTTTCATATATTTTAGATGTCAAGATATTCATGAGGAAGAGGTTATACACAGGCTTAAAGTTGTTGGGTAAAAGGACAGGTGTAACTAATGTAATATATTATTGTGACAACGTTTCGCAAGCCGTTACCTACTGATTAAGGTTGGTTAATTGGGGGTAAATCCTATCGGCTGTTGTAATGGTCATTTAGGATGCATGACACTTATTCACCACCAGTCAAAAATACTCCAATCTCTAAAAAAAGAGGATCAAACTAAACTCAGTATATACACATACTGATAGATATACACTTCTCGGTGTATTTAAGTTGTGACTGACTAAAATACTGACAGCCTTGGAAAGTCTTCACCCAACTTGAGTTGTTCAGCCTTGCATAACATACTAGTAACTAGCGCCTAAATGTTCATGTTTAATCCAAAGAACTGTATTTGAGTAATCCATACAGATACAGTAATTTGTGTTCATTGAAAATGCAAATAAGTTACTTTAAAAAGAAGAAATTCTGATTGGTTAATAGGGTTGAAAGCCTATCGAGTAAACGACGGTCATTAAACAGTCAGTGTTAGTCGAGGAGTGGAGTGAAGCACATCCAGTTAACCAGAGTGGAGTGAAGCACATCCAGTTAACCAGAGTGGAGTGAAGCACATCCAGTTAACCAGAGTGGAGTGAAGCACATCCAGTTAACCAGAGTGGAGTGAAGCACATCCAGTTAACCAGAGTGGAGTGAGTCACATCCAGTTAACCAGAGTGGAGTGAGTCACATCCAGTTAACCAGAGTGGAGTGAAGCACATCCAGTTAACCAGAGTGGAGTGAAGCACATCCAGTTAACCAGAGTGGAGTGAGTCACATCCAGTTAACCAGAGTGGAGTGAAGCACATCCAGGTTAACCAGAGTGGAGTGAAGCACATCCAGTTAACCAGAGTGGAGTGAAGCACATCCAATTAACCAGAGTGGAGTGAAGCACATCCAATTAACCAGAGCGGAGTGAAGCACATCCAGTTAACCAGAGTGGAGTGAAGCACATCCAGTTAACCAGAGTGGAGTGAAGCACATCCAGTTAACCAGAGTGGAGTGAAGCACATCCAGTTAACCAGAGTGGAGTGAGGCACATCCAGTTAACCAGAGTGGAGTGAGGCACATCCAGTTAACCAGAGTGGAGTGAGGCACATCCAGTTAACCAGAGTGGAGTGAGGCACATCCAGTTAACCAGAGTGGAGTGAAGCACATCCAGTTAACCTGAGTGGAGTGAGGCACATCCAGTTAACCAGAGTGGAGTGAAGAACATCCAGTTAACCAGAGTGAAGAACATCCAGTTAACCAGAGTGGAGTGAAGAACATCCAGTTAACCAGAGTGAAGCACATCCAGTTAACCAGAGTGGAGTGAAGAACATCCAGTTAACCAGAGTGAAGCACATCCAGTTAACCAGAGTGGAGTGAAGAACATCCAGTTAACAGAGTGAGAAGTACGAAGAACATCCAGTTAACCAGAGTGAAGAAATGAAAGGAAACATCCAGTTAACCAGAGTGAAGAACATCCAGTTAACCAGAGTGGAGTGAAGAACATCCAGTTAACTAGAGTGAAGCACATCCAGTTAACCAGAGTGAAGAACATCCAGTTAACCAGAGTGAAGAACATCCAGTTAACCAGAGTGAAGAACATCCAGTTAACCAGAGTGAAGAACATCCAGTTAACCAGAGTGAAGAACATCCAGTTAACCTGAGTGTCAGCAATATATAACACCTGAAGTTAACATAATAATCCAGTCTTCACATCTTCAACTTGCTAGGCTAAGTTGCTCATTTTCATTTAAGTTTAATTTTGTTCTGAAGAATTAGAGGGGAATTTTTTGTTATTAGATTATTATTAAGACTTTTAGCGGGTTTGTTACTGTCGTAATAACTTTATATAACTATTTATTATATGTAAATAAAAAATGGCTATACGTATTGTTAAGTTTATTGTCTTTCAGCGCTAGTCCAGCCTCGTACCTCATATAAAGTAATTTTAAGCCATCAGAACTATCCACACTGTAAATGCTGCATTGTATTATACAGTAAGAGATACACTGTATCATTGTGTGACACTGTATTATACTGTAAATGCAACAAAGGGCGATTAACAAGGGATATTCACTTTAAATAAGACAGTTGCGCGACATTTTCTCTTGTTTTAAGTGTCATTCTCTAATAACTTCCCACATATAACCACTCATCATTTTATTCCATTTATCCTGATAACATTTCTTCACCTTTTAAATATCTTATCTTTTAACATGTGTTTATGGCTATATTTTAATTTTCATGGGTGATGGGAGAAGTCTCGTTCACCCCATATGTGGAAAATTACATTTATCTGAATGTATCATTATGTACTTAACAGTAAATGAACAAAGATAATTATTATTTATCAGTTAGACAAGTAGGAATTTGGGACACCTAGGTCGCAAAAAATGTCCCCCTTCGATACCTACCACTGTCATATCCACAAGTTGCTCTGGACCTATTACTTAAAAATAAAATGTACATACACCAGGAATTCTGGTAAATATATGTTTGTGGACTGTATATTAAAATTAATAAATGATTAATATATATATATATATATATATAATATATATATATATATAATATATATATATATAATATATATATATATATTTATATATATTTATATATACACCTTTATATAACAGATGTGGAAAATACTGTATATTTTCCGGAAATACGGTAATTTATAGGTAAACAGATGCCCTATATTGTATTTAATAAAAGTGTATTTTTTAAAAAAAGAGGACGGTCGCCATTTTGTTTGAATGGAGTAAGACGTTAGTTAATAATGTGAAGAATTTTCGTGCTCTAGAGGTTAAAATTGGGTTGACACCTCTCAAATAGGAGGCGAAATTGTTGGATGTGCATTACTGCATAACTTGAGATATCAGACGACTGGACAAGACAGCTCCAGGAACCTCAGATAAGTCTTATGTAGTAACCTGGCCAGTGTTATTTTCATAGATAGACAGTGAGGTTTTCTGAGTATGATACACATTAATCTCCAGTCAAATTGGTGAGTGATAATAAGATATTTTCCTTCTGTTATGTAAATGTGTGTATATACTGTAATCCTTTTTTAATTTTAATATACAGTCCACAAATTTATATATTTACCAACATTCCTGGTGATGTATATTTCATTTAATTAATGGGTCCAGAGCAACTTGTGGATATGACAGTGGTAGGTATCGAAGGGGACATTTTTTGCGACCTAGGTGTCCCAAATTCCTACTTGTCTAACTGATAAATAATAATTATCTATGTTCATTTACTGTTATGTATATAATGATACATTCAGCAAAATGTAATTTTCCACAACAGAAGGAGAATATATCTTAATCATAACACTCACCAATTTGACTGGAGATTAATGTGTCATGTACAGGACCCCCCCTTTTGCCTACATTTATGAAAAATTTACTGGCCAGAATTTAAACATAAATTAGACAGTTTATCTGAGGTTCCTGGAGTTGTCCTGTCCTGTCGCCTGATACTCAAATTATGCAGGAATGCACATCCAACAATTTAGGCTCCTATTTGAGAGGTGTCAGCCCAAATTTAACCTCTAGAGCACGAAAAATTCTTCCCCTTATTAATGTCTGTTACTCAATTCAAAAACAAAAATGGCGACTGTCCTCTGCGCATGTGCAGCTTCCCGTTTTCGATAACAAATTTTATTAAATTCAGTATGGCTATCTATTTACATATAACTACTGTATTTCTGAAAAATATGTACAGTATTTTCCACACCATATAGGTCAAAATGTCGTAAGTGGTAACTGTGTCAGTCAAAATGTAAAATTCCACTTAAAAGTAGCTAAATTTTGCTAAACCTGAATAACTAAAGTGTAATAAACACTTGTCAATGCTCAGTACTAACCCACATGGAGATAGAAATTCCGGAGGTTGATTGATCTGTATATTTCCATCACTCCCTCCCAGAGACAGACTGATGCTGTATCTCTAGCTAGTGTCCACGTATTCAAAATCTGGTGGCTGAAAGACCGTGTCAAAAATCTCATTAAATGTGTTGTGTATTTGCGATTTGCTCCTTAGACTCTCTTTAATATTTTTAAAATATTAACGTTAATAATGAGTGTGGAAAATACTGTATATATTTTCCAGAAATACAGTAGTTATATGTAAATAGATGGCCATACTGTATTTAATAAAAATTTATGTTATAAAATATGGGAAAAAATTCGGCGCCTGTGCAGAAGAGACTCGCCATTGTTGAATTGGACACAAACGTTAGTGAATATTGGGAAGAATTTTCGTGCTCTAGAGGTTAAAATTGGGCTGACACCTCTCAAATAGGAGACGAAATTGTTGGATGTGCATTCCTGCATAACTTGAGATATCAGGCGAAGGGACAAGACTCTAATTAGACGGAAACAGGATATTACTCCAGCTAAGTGTCTTATTTTGTTAGATTCTGGCCAGTTTCTTCATAAATTTTAGACAGGAGTTAGATATGATACAACTAATCTCCAGTCAAATTGTGAGTGATTTTAAGATATTTTCCTTCTGTTATATATATGTGTATATATACAATCATTTATTATTTTTAATATACAGTCCACAAACTTATATATTTACCAGAATTCTTGTTGATGCATATTTCATTTGTAATTAATAGGTCTAGAGCAATTTGTGGATAAGACAGTGGTAGGTATCGAAGGGGGACATTTTTGTGACCTAGGTGTCCCAAATTCCTACTTGTCTATGTAACTGATAAATAATAATTATCTTTGTTATCATTTACTGTTATGTACATAATGAGTTACATTCAGATAAATGCAATTTTCCACAATGAGAATTAATTCCTCAGTTTTCCTATTTAAACAGACATATTCTATTTTTACATTTAGAATTTTCTATAAATAAGATGAAACAGCGGAGGTGTCTCATAGTACATGTAAACATTGCCAGAGTTGTGAATACTTTATTTTCCAAGCTGTGTCTTGCTAGCCAGGAGCTTTGTTAAATCTCAGTGTATGTAGCATTATATAACAATATATATAATACATAACACTACAGCTGTACAAGGAAAATTATAGATTTAATAATGGATTTCTACATAAATAGCAAGTATTAAGGGGTCGTGTTACTGGGGCCTCAATATAGTTCACGGAAACACTGGCAGTGTTGACACTGCCAGTGTTTTGGGTGACTGTTTCTACAGTGTTTCTCCAGCTGTCAAAATCTTTACCACTAGATGAAGATTTTGACAGACGTCGATTCCAATTAACAGTTGCCTGTGTATTCGACTAAAGAAGCCTACTGTGTAGGCGAAACGTTTCGGATTACAGATACCTAACTGCTATATATGTATACCATATTCACAACAGTTCATTCTGCCAAGGGAACGTAGTCCAGCAGAACGTAAGAACAGATGAACACTGTAGCAAGCTAACTGGCTCACACTAAGCATGTCTTTTTAACCCAGTTTTTACATCTACCCCGGCTGCTGCTTTCGACAACAGCCTGGCAGTACACTGTGCACTCATTCCAGCCCTCTCAGGGCAGTGGTCATCTGGGAACCTTCACTTTGCGTGTCGTAGAAGAGGAGTCTGGCTCGCCTGCCGGATAAAGCCTTGGGGAGGCTGGTCTGCCGGATGACCGCGCCCTGGTAGGCATACCACGAGTTCCTCTTCCTACAGTAGGCGCTAAAGCTGCCGTCCTGGTCACCACACGCAGCGTACAGCCTATAGGTGGAAATTCTGACGCGCGAGACGGGAAAAAGAAAAGTTAGAGACACACACACGCATATACAGTGTGTATATATATATATATATATATATATATATATATATATATATATATTATATATATATATATATATACATTCACTTCATTTAAACATTAAAATCTCCCATAAAAATCTTCAACTATGACATAAACTTCAACAAACACTAGATTACTGCACCTCAGTCTGTATTCTCTTAGTATTTAATGCCTAACTTTTAACCATTCGACTGATTCACAATCACCGTAAACACTCGACTGATTCAGTCATCCTAAATATATGACTGACTTGTTCTTCCTTAAAAAATCACACTTAGCCTAAACATTGGTAAATACATCAGTAAGCATTGAGTAGACTCACTCCTGGCCAGTATTCTTCATGAAGGGAGTCAGGTTGATGCTAGATGGAAAGGTCACTTCCTCCTGCGTAGTATCTGATCTCTTTCTGGTAGGCCTAGAGGGGAGAAGAAAGGTTACGAAAGGTATCGAGGTTAAGAATGGTGGTGGTGAGGTTGTGTATCGCGGTATTGATGCTAGGAATGGTGGTAGGGAGGTTAGGGATGGTGGTAGTGGAATAGCCAGCATAGGTAAGCCAGTGGTTATTATTATTATTATAATCAAAAAGAAGCGCTAAGCCACAAGGGCTATACAGCGCTGAAGCCAGTGGTTGCTTAATCCTTAATAACAATCACAGGTGCAGTGGCTTATCGGTGTTGGAATTTCCATCCCATTTTGAAAACAATGGATTAAGACAGTGCCCTTGATGAAGTGTGAGGTGGTGTTTTATTCGTCAGGAAAGAGGACAAGAGTCGCCCGGACACCGTTCTTGTGAGATGACGGTTTATCATCCACTGGTCTACATCAGCTAGGTTCTAAACCCCATTTAAAACACAAAACATTAATTTTGTTTAGGATGACGTGAGGTCAAGAAGAATGAAAACTTCAGCATTGTATCTGAACAATTTATCTAGGTTAGGTAAGGTTCGTCAGGAAACAGGACAAGTGTTTCCTGACGCGGGTCTTAGTCATATGATGACCCGCCACTGAATGGTGGCGGGTCATAATGTCATAATGGTTATAATTATAACTATCAGATTCATAAAATGATATAACCATTGTAATTCATCAATAATCCACAATGAGGAGCTGAGTCTCGACCCCCCCCCAAGAAAAAAAAACCCCAGCTCGATGAGCAGTTGAGAAAGAGAGGAAGTTTTCGAAAGGCGTTTCGGTCCTTCTGGGATCTAAACGTCTGGTAAATGCTACCCTGGAGAGTGTGAGTTCCTCGTCATGTGATGTCAGCTTACCATGAGAGCTTCACAACGAGGACCTGCGGGAGTTTGATAATGACACGAAAACGGGAACACTGGTGTTGCTTCCCACACTTCCAACACTCCCACAACACCATATGGGGACGGTACTGACGCTCCAGCAGCTCCTGTAGCAGGAAACAACAACACGACACCGTGTTAGGCAAAGGAAGGGTGCTAGTGCTCCAGCAACTTCTATAGCAGGGAACAACAATTAATTATCTAAAACTAAGGGACGGTACTGACGCTCCATCATCTCCTGTAGCAGGGAACAATAATTCATGTTGGACTAAGGGACGGTACTGACGCCCCAGCAACAGGAAACAACAAACCATCCCATTGAACTATGGAACGGGTGGGGGTTTGTACCCATGGCGGTTGAATCCTAAAACTCACATTCTAGTTCGTTAACCACTTCGTGGTTTATTTATAATTGTGTTATTACGATTTCGTGAATCATTCTATTAGGTTAAAAAAAAAAAAAAACTAACCAACCTCTGTCAAGTCGAGTTGATGATTTTGACTCTAAATTACATGTAAAGTGTCAAGTGTTATAATCGTCTTTATTCAACTGAAGAATACACAAATAACCCACAAATAGGAGAGACTTTTGATAGTGTTTCAGTCCAACTTGGACCATTAATTATTCACGTGACTAGTTTATGGTCCAAGTCGGAGCGAAACGTCGTCATAAGTCTCTCCTGTGTGTCGGTTATTTGTGTATTGTTCCAGTGACAGTATTGTGGCTTTTTATTCTTTCTCGACTGAAGAAGCCTGCTGGGCAGGCGAAGCGTTTCGACAGTCAGGATAGCTAAATGTTGCGTATGTGTGTTGCCCATGAAACTGAATAACTTGAAGCTTTGACGGAGCGGAACATGATGGGATAAAGCTCAACAAGGGGTGAAATGTCGCTCCAGTGGAAAGCTTGCCCTGCAACTTCCCCCTCAGGGCCAAAATCTAATAAAAAAAACTATTATCTGTGTCAGTGACTCGATGGAATTTCATGAAGCATTGCTAATTTTTCATCCCGTTTCAGTTCGTGCATTTCTGAACGACCTAAGCCACACATTCCTAACTTTACACATATTATAGTTACTTTAAGTTGTTAATTAATAGCAAATAACATTTAATAGTTTATTATTATTATTCTTATTATTGCTATTATTACATTATTATTTGTAGATGAATGGTTCAGAGAACCGACATGTTGATAAATTAGACACATATGCAACTCTTGGGTATCTTTATTGAGGAAACGTTTCGCCACACAGTGGCTTCATCAGTATTAAGATCTTAATACTTAGGAATTCTTCGCTTCCTTATTCTTGGGCACGACTCATCTTCACATTGAACAAATGTGACACACTAGATGACTGCACCTCTCTGCATAACGGATTATAAGCTGCTCTCGCTGATATGCCGTAATTCTATTCAATTGATGGACTGAAACATCGTCAAGGTTGAGGGACTGATTACCTCATTCTCTTCCTGTTCTTCAAGTTTCTCCTACGTATGGACTGATGAAGCCACTGTGTGGCGAAACGTTTCCTCAATAAAGATACCCAAGAGTTGCATATGTGTCTAATTTATCTACATTATTATTATTATTATTGCGTGTGATAATTAGAGATTTGTGAAGTTCTATACTTTGAACAGAAGAGAAGCCTAGCTCCAATTACTCGGATCACGAGCTCGTCAGAGCCCTGAAGAATTTTAACCTGGAGGAGAATGTGTTAAGACCCACCTGAAGGTGCGAGTCTCCTGCAGGAGGGTTTGGCGAGACGCTGACGGCGCTGAAGGTGTCGGAGCTGGTGCTGAGGATGGTGTTGGTGGCCAGGCAAGTGACGAAGGAGCGATGAATGCCCTGGAAGACCTCGGAGATGACGGTAGAGTCATCAGCCTCCTCATCTTCTGAACTGCTGTTGTTGGATGACTGTTTCTGCAGGAGGAGCACCTAAGTGTATACAGGTTGGTTTATGTTTTAAACTGTTGTAACGTGATTAAGGTTAAGGCTAATTGTTTTTTAAAGACTGTTGAAAAGGTTATTAAGGCTTCATGCCACGTGGTTAAAGTTGGTTAATTGAGTTTTTAAAGCCTATTTACTACACGAGGGTCGTAAAAGTTGCATTTCACTATTGTCACAACCATCCACAACACACACACAAGATGTATACAGTCTTGGTGAATAGCTTAGGTAGTGTATATGTCTCGCGATTATCAGATGTAGGATCGAGACTTCGGCACTCGTCTGCAGAAATCTGTATATTATTATTCTTATTCTGGGGAACTGCTAAACCTGGCCGGGTCATACAGTGCCTGGGAGAACGAGAGGTAGTAAAGCTCGATAAGACGAATTTTTTTGGTTGTATGCCTGAAGTCTTGCACTGGTCTCAGCCCACTACATAGTTAACTTGCATCGTAAGAGACCAACATAAAAGTACAATAAACAGCGACAACTACAACCCCACATGGTACCAATGACTTCACATGGCACCTACGACTCCTCATGGAGCTGAAGATGGCCTCTGTCCTAGAAGGAAACAGGTATCTTTATTTCTTTTCCTTGTGCACGTGGATAGCTTGTACCACGGTCCCACGATGTGTGTTGTGGAAGGTTGTGACGTAATTGTTGCTATTTCAACGACCAAACTTCCTGAAGGCACGACAAGCCGACCTGCGCAGCCCCTATAACCTTCTGAATGATCTATAGCAGCTACGGATCTAGTTTCATCTCGAGAACTCCTTCTTCTGTTCTGGCAGTGTTACTGATATCTGTTGGTACTTGGCTGAGGAGCCTTGGAGAACAGATGCTGGCGTTTCAACCTATAAATGATCTAGGCGAGTAGAAATATAATGCGTGTCTGTCTCGCTTTACCAGACGGAGAACCAAGCCTCCATCATGCCTTGCGCTGAGTGGGTTTAGAGTTTAACATGAATTATATTATTATTCAACTTACAAACAGAAGACGTACTGAAGGTCTCATCTATTCTTGTGTTCTTAAAATTAATCCAGTGACGATGTTCCTCATTCCTATTTGAGAGACTCCCGCAGAAGTGGGGAACATCCCACAGGAGTGAGGAACCGCCTGTCTAATTACCTGAAGAAGATCCAGGTGCAGAAGCTGCAGTAGGTCCTCCAACATTCCTTGGGCGTCCTCTTGACTCACATTGTCGAAGGAGGCGTTGTAGGACTCGAGCGTCGCCTGAAGGAGTATAAAGGAATGAAAGGGATATACTTCTGAAAATGAGAGAAATATTCCTCTCTCGGTGTATATGCATTGAAAGATCTCTTCGGTGTCTATATAATGAGAAATAGTCGTTTCTCGGAGTACATATATATACATGTACTGTGATATGCAGTCTAGTTTCTTGGATTATTAGGCTTAAAGCACGAGGTCGGGCTGCATGTCACCTGTTCACCAGTCATGGACACTTTAATCTCTAAAATAGAGATTAAGGCAAACTTTCAGCGAATGTACACCCCCACTCCCCAAGTTTATATATACACTGCTACTCTCAGAGCACCATACTCGACAAATATCCACAAATCCCTTGCAGTACGCACCATTATAGTGACATGCAAGATTATATTAGATTCGTCAGGAAACAGGTTTATCAGGAAACGGAACAAGTGTTTCCTGACGAGGGTCTTAGTCATATGATGACCCGCCGCTGCAACATTTAGTCATCTGACCGAGGCCTTCCGCTGAAGATGAGAAAGGCACAATATAGTGACTGAAACAATATACAAATAACCCAAACATAGGAAAGAGAAGCTTACCATGACGTTTCGGTCCCACTTCGATCCACCCCTTTAAAACTCAAGGTTATAATCGTTATAATCAGTAGCGTACCTACCTTTTTCCGGTCCCTGAAGCTTGAACTGTTATGGCAGCCCCTTCAGAACCCCTTCTTATACAGTAGACCCCAAATTTATAAGCAATATGGAATAAAGTCGCTTCTGCGGCCCTTCCGGAATTATGGGCTTTGTTTAAGTTTTATTATTTTCGTAGAAGATCCGCCCCTGGTTATAATTAACACCTCCATACACAATACGCACCATCATACTGAGGACAGCAGGTTGAACTTTCCTGCCGGAGTTGAGAGTCTCTATCACCCTGACGAAGTCTTCAGTGAGCCTGGCTGCCTCGTCACTCTGCTCCTGCCTGAGGGAGATAGTAAAATTTCTTTATTTTTTATCGTTGTTTTATTGGTATCTTTACTGAACATTATCAGTTTTAATGCCATTATTATTATTATTAGTTACCCAACGTTTGCCTTAAGGGGCACTTAAGTACCCTTGTCTTCTAAAAACGTTCATTTTCCACTATAATCTAACTTGTCCATAATTACTCTAGCATTTGTTTTATCTGTTTCGTAAGGTGAAGTCCAGGATCTTTCTTTAATTCAATTGTGTTGTAGGTCAGAGCAAAGTTCAGACCTCTACAACAAAGTTCAGACCTCTACAACACAATTATCATCAAAGATTTGTTAAGTTATACCATGAGTTAAGGAAAGATCCTGGACTTCATCTTACGAAACAGGCAAAACAAATGTGATAGTAATTATGGACAAGGTAGATTATAGGGGAAAAAAATGAACATATTAGAAAACCGGGGAACTTACGTGCCTTTTAACTTAGTTTCAAGAGTTATGAGGGAGTGAGGTGGGTCATGGTGGCTGGTTAATGAGAACTCACCTGTGTAAGGAATGGGAGAAGAACTGCCTGATTGGTCTAGTATGGTAGAGGCAGTTCACCATGGCTGTTACCATACTCACACACTGAGGAAAAGTTGGCTGATTAACAGTCTCAAAACCTATCGACTAACCTATATATATATATAATATATATATATATATATATATATATATATATATATATATATATATATATATATTATATTTATATATATATATAATTTTTTTTTTCAACAAGTCGGCCGTCTCCCACCGAGGCAGGGTGACCCCAAAAAAGAAAGAAAATCCCCAAAAAGAAAATACTTTCAGCATTCAACACTTTCACCACACTCACACATTATCACTGTTTTTGCAGAGGTGCTCAGAATACAAAAGTTTAGAAGCATATACATATAAAGATACACAACATATCCCTCGGGTGAGATATAAGCGACTATTGGCAGAAAGGTGGGCTAGTGCAGAGATGAGTAGTGGGGGGGGGGGGTTGAAGAGGGTTGGAATAGTTTAAAAAATGCAGCATTAGAATGTGGGGCAGAAGTTTGTGGTTATAGGAGGGTGGGGGCAGGAGGAAAGAGGAGTAATTGGTGGAATGATGAAGTAAAGGGTGTGATAAAAGAGAAAAAGGTAGCTTATGAGAGGTTTTTACAAAGCAGAAGTGTTATAAGAAGAGCAGAGTATATGGAGAGTAAAAGAAAGGTGAAGAGAGTGGTGAGAGAGTGCAAAAGGAGAGCAGATGAGAGAGTGGGAGAGGCACTGTCAAGAAATTTTAATGAAAATAAGAAAAAAATTTGAAGTGAGTTAAACAAGTTAAGAAAGCCTAGGGAAAGTATAAATTAATCAGTTAAAAACAGAGTAGGGGAGTTAGCAGATGGTGAGATGGAGGTATTAGGTAGATGGCGAGAGTATTTTGAGGAACTTTTAAATGTTGAGGAAGAAGGAGAGGTGGTAATTTCATGCACTGGTCAGGGAGGTATACCATCTTTTAGGAGTGAAGAAGAGCAGAATGTAAGTGTGGGGGAGGTACGTGAGGCATTACGTAGAATGAAAGGGGGTAAAGCAGCTGGAACTGATGGGATCATGACAGAAATGTTAAAAGCAGGGGGGGGGATATAGTGTTGGAGTGGTTGGTACTTTTGTTTAATAAATGTATGAAAGAGGGGAAGGTACCTAGGGATTGGCGGATAGCATGTATAGTCCCTTTATATAAAGGGAAAGGGGACAAAAGAGATTGTAAAAATTATAGAGGAATAAGTTTACTGAGTATACCAGGAAAAGTGTATGGTAGGGTTATAATTGAAAGAATTAGAGGTAAGACAGAATGTAGGATTGCGGATGAGCAAGGGGGCTTCAGAGTGGGTAGGGGATGTGTAGATCAAGTGTTTACATTGAAGCATATATGTGAACAGTATTTAGATAAAGGTAGGGAAGTTTTTATTGCATTTATGGATTTAGAAAAGGCATATGATAGAGTGGATAGAGGAACAATGTGGCAGATGTTGCAAGTATATGGAATAGGTGGTAAGTTACTAAATGCTGTTAAGAGTTTTTATGAGGATATTGAGGCTCAGGTTAGGGTGTGTAGAAGAGAGGGAGAATACTTCCCGGTAAAAGTAGGTCTTAGACAGGGATGTGTAATGTCACCATGGTTGTTTAATATATTTATAGATGGGGTTGTAAAGGAAGTAAATGCTAGGGTGTTCGGGAGAGGGGTGGGATTAAATTATGGGGAATCAAATTCAAAATGGGAATTGACACAGTTACTTTTTGCTGATGATACTGTACTTATGGGAGATTCTAAAGAAAAATTGCGAAGGTTAGTGGATGAGTTTGGGAATGTGTGTAAAGGTAGAAATTTGAAAGTGAACATAGAAAAGAGTAAGGTGATGAGGGTATCAAATGATTTAGATAAAGAAAAATTGGATATCAAATTGGGGTGGAAGAGTATGGAAGAAGTGAATGTTTTCAGATACTTGGGAGTTGACGTGTCGGCGGAAAGATTTATGAAGGATGAGGTTAATCATAGAATGATGAGGGAAAAAAGGTGAGTGGTGCGTTGAGGTATATGTGGAGTCAAAAAAACATTATCTATGGAGGCAAAGAAGGGAATGTATGAAAGTATAGTAGTACCAACACTCTTATATGGGTTGTGAAGCTTGGGTGGTAAATGCAGCAGCGAGGAGATGGTTGGAAGGCAGTGGAGATGTCCTGTTTGAGGGCAATGTGTGGTGTAAATATTATGCAGAAAATTCGGAGTGTGGAAATTAGGAAAAAGGTGTGGAGTTAATAAAAGTATTAGTCAGAGGGCAGAAGAGGGGTTGTTGAGGTGGTTTGGTCATTTAGAGAGAATGGATCAAAGTAGAGTGACATGGAAAGCATATAAATCTATAGGGGAAGGAAGGCGGGGTAGGGTCGTCCTCGAAAGGGTTGGAGAGAGGGGGTAAAGGAGGTTTTGTGGGCGAGGGGCTTGGACTTCCAGCAAGCGTGCGTGAGCGTGTTAGATAGGAGTGAATGGAGACGAATGGTACTTGGGACCTGACGATCTGTTGGAGTGTGAGCAGGGTAATATATAATATATATATATATATATAATATATATATATATATATATTAATAATATATATATATATTATATAATAATATATATGTCGTGCCGAATATGGAGAACTTGCGATCTTGGCTTAAATAGCAACGCTCATCTTGCCATATAGAACAAGTAAAAATTTGTGTATGTAATAATTTCGCCAAAATCATTCTGAACCAAACGAAAAAAATATTTCACAGGGTTTGTTTAGTATTAAATTATTGTAAACAAATCTAAAATATATTTAGTTGGGTAAAGCTAAAATAAATTGCTCTTGTTATAATAAGGTTAGGTAAGTTTTCTAAGATTCTTTTGGAGCAAAATTAAAAATTTTTACATTAACATTAATGAAAAAAAATATATCTTTAGACGTATAAGAGAAAATTTTAGAAAGGGCTTAATTTTAAATGAGTTTTTGTTAATTAACCAGTTTTACATATTCGGCACGACATTATATATATATATATATATATATATAATATTATATATATATATATATAATATATATATATATATAATTATATATATATATCCTCCGAGGAATTCCAAAATTAATTTATTGTAGGAATAAAAATTAAGAATATATAACTACAACAAAATTATGCAAGAATAAAAATAAAAACACTGAAATTAACTACATTTGTGATTTACAAATTTAAATTTGTAATTTGTGACCATCATGGTACACTTGTACCAGCATGGTACACTTGTACCATCATGGTACACTTGTACCAGCATGGTACACTTGTACCATCATGGTACACTTGTACCACCATGGTACACTTGTACCATCATGGTACACTTGTACCACCATGGTACACTTGTACCATCATGGTACACTTGTACCATCATGGTACACTTGTACCATCATGGTACACTTGTACCACCATGGTACACTTGTACCACCATGGTACACTTGTACCACCATGGTACACTTGTACCACCATGGTACACTTGTACCATCATGGTACACTTGTACCATCATGGTACACTTGTACCATGGTACACTTGTACCATCATGGTACACTTGTACCATGGTACACTTGTACCATCATTGTACACTTGTACCACCATGGTACACTTGTACCATGGTACACTTGTACCATGGTACACTTGTACCATCATGGTACACTTGTACCACCATGGTACACTTGTACCATCATGGTACACTTGTACCACCATGGTACACTTGTACCATCATGGTACACTTGTACCATCATGGTACACTTGTACCATCGATGGTACACTTGTACCATCATGGTACACTTGCTACCACCATGGTACACTTGTACCATGATGGTACACTTGTACCATCATGGTACACTTGTACCATGGTACACTTGTACCATGGTACACTTGTACCATCATGGTACACTTGTACCATGGTACACTTGTACCATCATGGTACACTTGTACCACCATGGTACACTTGTACCCATGGTACACTTGTACCATCATGGTACACTTGTACCACATGGTACACTTGTACCATCATGGTACACTTGTACCACCATGGTACACTTGTACCATCATGGTACACTTGTACCATCATGGTACACTTGTACCATCATGGTACACTTGTACCATCCATGGTACACTTGCACCACCATGGTACACTTGTACCATGATGGTACACTTGTACCATCATGGTACACTTGTACCATCGGTACACTTGTCACATGGTACACTTGTACCACCATGGTACACTTGTACCATGGTACATTGTACACATCTTGTACCACTTTGTACCACCATGGTACCTTGTACACATGGTAACTTGTACCATCATGGTACACTTTCCACCATGGTACACTTGTACCATCTGGTACACTTGTACCACCATGGTACACTTGTACCATCGTGTAACACTTGTACCACCATGGTACCATGTACCATCATGGTACCTTGTACCATCATGGTACACTTGTTACCATCATGGTACACTTGTACCATCATGGTACACTTGCACCACATGGTACACTTGTACCATGATGGTACACTTGTACCATCATGGTACACTTGTACCACCATGGTACACTTGTACCATCATGGTACACTGTCCATCATGGTACACTTGCACCACCATGGTACACTTGTACCATCATGGTACACTTGTACCACCATGGTACACTTGTACCATCATGGTACACTTGTACCACCATGGTACGCTTGTACCATCATGGTACACTTGTACCATCATGGTACACTTGTACCATCATGGTACACTTGTACCATCATGGTACACTTGTACCACCATGGTACACTTGTACCACCATGGTACACTTGTACCACCATGGTACATTTGTACCACCATGGTGCGCTTGTACCATCATGGTGCGCTTGTACCATCATGGTACGCTTGTACCATCATGGTACGCTTGTACCATCATGGTACACTTGTACCATCATGGTACACTTGTATCATGGTACACTTGTATCATGGTACACTTGTACCATCATGGTACGCTTGTACCATCATGGTACGCTTGTACCATCATGGTACGCTTGTACCATAATGGTACACTTGTACTATCATGGTACACTTGTACCATCATGGTACACTTGTACCACCATGGTACACTTGTACCACCATGGTACACTTGTACCATCATGGTACACTTGTGCCACCATGGTACACTTGTACCATCCATGGTACACTTGTGCCATCATGGTACACTTGTACCACCATGGTACACTTGTACCATCATGGTACACTTGTACCATCATGGTACACTTGTACCACCATGGTACACTTGTACCATCATGGTACACTTGTACCACCATGGTACACTTGTACCACCATGGTACACTTGTACCACCATGGTACACTTGTACCACCATGGTACACTTGTACCACCATGGTACACTTGTACCATCATGGTACACTTGTACCACCATGGTACACTTGTACCACATGGTACACTTGTACCATTCATGGTACACTTGTACCACCATGGTACACTTGTGCCACCATGGTACACTTGTACCACATGGTACATTGTACCACCATGGTACACTTGTCACATCATGGTACACTTGTACCATCATGGTACCTTGTACCACATGGTACTTTGTACCATCGATGGTACACTTGTACCATCATGGTACACTTGTACCATCGTGGTACATCTTGTACCACCATGGTACACTTGTACCATTATGGTACACTTGTACCATCATGTTACTTGTACCATCATGGTACGCTTGTACCACCTGGTACAACTTGTACCATCATGGTACACTTGTACCATCATGTTATACTTGTACCATCATGGTACACTTGTACCACCATGGTACACTTGTACCATCATGGTACACTTGTACCACCATGGTACAAGTGTACCATCATGGTACACTTGTACCACCATGGTACAATGTACGTACCACATGGTACACTTGTACCACCATGGTACAAGTGTACCTTCATGGTACACTTGTACCATCATGGTACACTTGTACCACCATGGTACAAGTGTACCATCATGGTACACTTGTACCATCATGGTACACTTGTACCATCATGGTACACTTGTATCATCAAGGTACACTTGTACCACCATGGTACAGTGTCCACCATGGTACAGTGTACCACCATGGTACACTTGTACCACCATGGTACAAGTGTTACCACCATGGTACACTTGTACCACCTACTGTTCATGAGTTAGAGCCACAGATGGTTCTTGTTCCAGTGGGTCTTTGTATCAGTTGTATCTTGTTCACATTCAAGTGTTCTTGTCACTGTAGCAGCCATGTTCTTGTTCGAGAAACTGTTCTTGTTCAAAAGCGTTCTTGTACATTCACTGTTTCCGTTCTGTCAACTGTGTCTCGTTCTTTAACCTGTTCCTTGTTCTTACATACATGTTCTCGTTCTTTAACCCTGTCTTGTTCTTCATACATGTTCTCGTTCTTTAACCATGTTCATTGTCTTCATACTGTTCTCGTTCTTAACTGTTCTCTTCTAACTGTTACTCAGTTCTTTAACATGTTCATTGTTCTTCATACTGTTTACTTGTTAGACCTTGTCTTGTTCTTTCATACTGTTACTTGTTTCTTTACCTGTCTCTTGTTACCTTTCAAACTGTTCCTGTCTTCATGGTTCTTGTTCATCCAATGGTCAATGTCCTATAAACTGTACCTCATGGTACAAGTGTACCATCAAGGTACACTTGTTCATCAAGGTTACACTTGTCACCATGGTTCAAGTGTACCATCATGGTACACTTGTACCACATGGTCAAAGTGTCCATCATGGTACATTTCCTCATGGTTTCACTTTTACCACCATGGTAACTTTTTCCCTCATGGTACACTTGTACCCCATGGTACACTTTACCAACCAAAGGTCACTTTACCTTATGGTACACTTGTACCACATGGTAAAATTGTACCACCATGGGCATTTACCCCCATGGTACACTTGTACCTCATGTTATATTGACATCAGGTACCTTGTACACCATGGTACATTGACCCTCATGGTACATTGTCCACATGTATACTTGTACCATCTGGTACACTTGTACCCCCCTGGGACATTGTACCACCATGGTACACTTGTGCCTCATGGACACTTGTACCATATGGACCTTGTCCACATGGTACATTGTACCACCTGGCACTTGTACCATCTGGGACACTTGACCCCCATGTTATATTTTACCATCATGGTACACTTGTCCACCATGGTAATTGTCCTCAGGTACACTTGTACCATATGTAACTTGTACCATCTGGTACCTTGTACCACCATGGTCACTTTTCCCATCATGGGGACACTTTTACCATCTGGGACCTTTACCACCATGGTACAAGTGTTCCCTCATGGGACATTGTCCCCATGGGACAAGTTCCATCAGGTACACTTGTTCTCAAATTCACTTTACCACCATGGTCAAGTGACCTCATGGTACATTGTACCACGGTACAAATGTACCCTCATGGTACCTTGTACCCTCATGGACATTGTACCCCTGGTACAAAGGGACCATCATGGTACACTTGTACCCCATGGTACACTTGTACCTCGGGAACTTTTATCATCAAGGTACACTGACCACCCCTGGTACAAATGTACCCCATGGTACAAGTGTACCACCTGGTACACTTGACCACCATGGTAATTGACCCCATGGTCCTTGTACCACCATGGTACACTTGTACCACCATGGTACAAGTGTACCACCATGGTACACTTGTACCACCATGGTACACTTGTACCACCTACCTGTTCATGAGTTAGAGCCACAGATGTGTTTTGTTCCAGTGGGTCTTTGTTCAGTTGTTCTTGTTCATTCAAGTGTTCTTGTCTGTGCAGCTGTTCTTGTTCGAGAAACTGTTCTTGTTCATAAAGCTGTTCTTGTACAATCACCTGTTTCCGTTCTTCATACTGTTCTCGTTCTTTAACCTGTTCTTGTTCTTCATACTGTTCTCGTTCTTTAACCTGTTCTTGTTCTTCATACTGTTCTCGTTCTTTAACCTGTTCTTGTTCTTCATACTGTTCTCGTTCTTTAACCTGTTCTCGTTCTTCATACTGTTCTCGTTCTTTAACCTGTTCTTGTTCTTCATACTGTTCTCGTTCTTTAACCTGTTCTTGTTCTTCATACTGTTCTTGTTCTTCAAAATGTTCCTGTTCTTCATGCTGTTCTTGTTCTTCAAAGTGCTCATGTTCCTTAAACTGTTCTTGTTCAAACTGTTCTTCATAATGTCCTTGTTCTTTAAACTGTTCATGTTCATACTGTTCTTTAAACTGATAATCTTCATACTGTTCTTGTTCTTCAAACTGTTCAAAATCTTCATACTGTTCTTGTTCTTCATGTCAAAATCTTACTGTTCTGTCTTCAAACTGTTCAAAATCTTCATACTGTTCTTGTTCTTCAAACTGTTCAAAATCTTCATACTGTTCTTGTTCTTCAAACTGTTCAAAATCTTCATACTGTTCTTGTTCTTCAAAGTGCTCATGTTCCTTAAACTGTTCTTGTTCATTCAGTTGTTCATATTTGTATATTTGTTCTTTATTTACCTCGTGCGTATTGAACATTCTTTGTACAGTTGCACTTTCTCGTAAGTTCTGTTCTGTTCGCAATCGTTCTTCTAAAAGCAAATGTTCTTGTCTCTTCAACTGTTCTGGATTGACTGACTGTTCTTCATGCAAATGTTCTGCGTGTAGGTGTCTGGGTGTGTTCAGTGGTTCCCGGCTGCGTGTGTGTTCTTCAGCGTTCACACGTTCATGCAGCTGCACCTCCTCCTGCACATGTTCTTCTAACACATGTCTTAAATTGGAGCTCGACTCACCTTGTTCTGTAGATGTTCTGTACATCTGTCAGTGAATAATTTTATTATTATTATTATTATTATTATTATTATTATTATTATTATTATTATTATTATTATTATTATTATTTTTATTTATTATATATTTTAATATTTTTATATTATTTTTAAATTATTATTATTATTATTATTTATTATTATTATTAATTTTTATTGTGTCAGACACCTGCTGTCGTTCAATAGGCTTGTAAGTATTATGAACACCTGCCTGTATCAACAGCTGTTCAATATTGCAGATCTTGAGGGGTCTGCTCTCTGAGGTGTAGTTGTAAATCTTGAGTGACAAGAGTCTCAGCGGCCACCAGCCAAGCAGCCACCACATCTATCGGGAAACATGTGTGAGAAGCGTTATACCCGTGTGCTGGATGCTCAGGAGTGATGAAGGCTTGATACTCCGTCCTCTGGAGGAGAATCCAGCCTCTACCACTCCTGAAAGTGGTATTTTGGTGAAGGTATGACTACCAAATCCAGTGAAAAGCAGGGGTGCAGTGGTCACAATAAGGGAACACTGTATCAACATCCGTGGCCTCAGATTATTCAACATCTTACCAGAAGATGTCAGAAACACTTTTGGGCCAAGTGTAGAAGTCTTCAAGAGGAAACCGGACATCTTCACCAGGTGCCAGATCAGCCAGGCTGTGATAGATATATGTAGCAGCGGGCCGCCACTAGCAACAGCCTGGTTGACCAGGCTAGCACCAGATGAGCCTGGCCTATGGCCGGGCTCCGTGAGCAGAAAAATTCTCGGAACTCATCAAAGGTAAAGGAATATACCACTACCCATCACTCACCATCAAACTACCATATCTGGTGGCACTGAGAGCCAGGAAGGCCGCCAGATCGGTCTTATCTCTGGCCTGGGCACACTGATGGGGCCTGACACCGTCACAGCTCCTGCGGGAGTTCTTCAGACCTTGCTGTACCAGCCACCTGGACGTCGCAGCCGTCCCATTGGCGGCGCTGTAATGCAGGAGAGAAGAACCCCGTACGTCCCGACGGTGTAAGACCTCAGGATCGTGGCGGCCCAGTTCCTGCAGGACGGTAGTGTGGCCCAGGGCGGCGGCCAACTGAGCTGCAGTCCAGCCTGCAGGTGGAAGGTCAGAATGTTGAACTAAGGTCAGGAGACACTGGTTGTCGTTCACTTAGTAGGTGGAATGGAGGTTAGATTGCTGAACTAAGGTCAGGAGACTGGTTGCCGTTGACCTAGTAAGTTTATTTAGGACAGGTATACATAAGCACAATTATTATACACAGAGCAAATTACCTAGGATAAGCCCCCCAAAAAGTCAGACTGACTAGTAGATAGAATGGCGGGTATACTGCTAAAACTAAAGTTAGGAAGCACTGGTTGAAGTCCGCTTCTTAAGAAAGGTACTAGAAGCATGTACGCAGGGGGCGTTTTGTGGTGTATGCAAGTGTGTGGAACAAGGATTAGGAACGCTGAGCTGGAGTCAGGAGAGGCAGAAGTTGCTGACCATACTGTAGGAGAGGACAAGATTACAATGTTGTGCTCGAAGTATTTGTTACCCTTCACCCTGACGGGGCTCGTGATAGATGGAATAATCTATTGGGTAACTTTGGCTTGTTCGTAGTGCAGATGGATCGAAAACTAGGATCCTGAACTAAGCTCAGGAGTCACTAGGTGGACCCACACTGCAGAGGAATTAAGAGAATGATGGGAAGTTGTGGTCTTAGTTCATCATTCTCATTATCGTTCTCACCATCACTCCTGTATCAGGGAGAAATGATGGTGGGAATGCTGTACTGAACGACGGTTCATGCCATTCATCCTACATGGGTTGTAAATAATATTGATCAATATGACGTCTATATTAAAAGAAAAAGAATTTGCTAACGAAAAAAAATAACCATTAAAGATTTACTATCAACGTTGCTACTCGCATGTTAGAAAATAATGGGGCCTAAATAATACCAAAATCTGTTCAGTAAAATATTAGGTTTGTACACACATATAAAACAAGATTTAGAGCCTAGAAATCACTAGAATTATAGTCATTATCCTGTATTATCTTTCTACTTAGAATGAGTTTGAATTAACACACAAAATCATTTCTAGACTAACTTTTCAAAGGGAAGATTTTTTTCTTTGGTTGCAAAGTAATTCTATTTTTATGATTTACTTTGATGACCATTTTAAAGGGAATGTCTTAAATATTTCGTATGACAAAGAAACGACGTTTCTCTCTTACCCTGACGGTCTGTGATGGTGTGGTCAGCTTGGCACTCCAGTAGAGCTGCCACTGCCTCCGCCTGGCACTCCCTCGTAGCAATGTGTAGCGCAGTGTCCCCTGGATAAACAACACGGAATTAACAGCATTCTCACCCCCCTCATCACTGCATAACCCTTTCAAAAGTGTCTTCAAACATGTATATAAAACAGACGCAAACAGGCGATCTTAACAATGCAGAAAAAGCCACATGAGGATGGAAATATTTATCTCTAGATCTTTCGCACTCTCGTGCGTCGTCAGGAGCTATGTAATGTTGCAAGACGGCAACATATAGGAGAGAAAGTTCTCTGAGGCAAGGCAGAAGGTATCATTGTTAACCCACGTCACAGAGTGATATGAGAGGTGACTGAAGACTTACCATAGTAGTCTGTGGTGTTTGGATTGACACCTGTACAGGTGATCAGGTGTCTGACCACCCTGGGACGACCCACCTGGGAGGCCAGGTGGACTGACACGCCACCTGTGGGTATATGTGTATATAGTTCAGTATATAGGCTGAGAGTTCTTATCCTACCTAAGTTCATGGACATAGCTATCTTTCGTTCCCAGTATGTAAATATCACTTAGTATGGTGCAGCACACTGCTGGTGTTCCCACAATGTAACTATCACATAGTGTAGTGTAGCAGCACAATGTTGGTGTTCCCACAATGTAACTATCACATAGTGTAATGTAGCAGCACAATGTTGGTGTTCCCACAATGTAACTATCACATAGTGTAATGTAGCAGCACAATGTTGGTGTTCCCACAATGTAACTATCACATAGTGTAATGTAGCAGCACAATGTTGGTGTTCCCCCCAATGTAACTTATACATAGTGTAGTGTAGCAGCACAATGTTGGTGTTCCCACAATGTAACTATCACATAGTGTAATGTACCAGCACAATGTTGGTGTTCCCACAATGTAACTATCACATAGTGTAGTTAGCACACAATGTTGGTGTTCCCACAATGTAACTATAACATAGTGTAGTGTAGCAGCACAATGTTGATGTTCCCACAATATAACTATTACATAGTGTAGTGTAGCAGCACAATGTTGATGTTCCCCCCATATAACTATTCCCATAGTGTAGTGTAGCACACACTGTTGTGTTACCACAATTGTAAACTATCACATAATTTAGAACACAGGGCGGTGTTCCCATGTATAATCACATAGTGTAGCAGTACACTGCAGTTGTTCCCACAATGTAACTCACACAGTGTAGCAGTACACTGCTGGTGTTCCCACAATGTAACTCACACAGTGTAGCAGTACACTGCTGGTGTTCCCACAATGTAACTCACACAGTGTAGCAGTACACTGCTGGTGTTCCACAATGTAACTCACACAGTGTAGCAGTACATGCTGATGTTCCCACAAGGTAACTCACAAAGTGTAGCAGTAAAACTCTGGTGTTCTCAAAATTTTAAACCCTCACACGTGTAGACAGTACACCGGGCGGGTGTTCCCACAGTGTAATCAACCACAGTGTAGCAGTACACTGTGGTTTCCACAATGTAACTCACCAGTGTAGCGTACACGGCTGGTGTTCCACAATTTAACTACACAGTGTGCAGTACACTGTGGTTTCCCACAGGTAACTCACCCCGTGTGCAGTACACTGCTGGTGTTTCCAATGAACTCAACAGTGTAGCAGTGAAATGTGTTTTTCCCACAGTGTAACTCACACGTGTGCATACACTGTGGTTTTACCACAATGCCAACCACACAGTTAGTGTTAGCGTTTACTGCTGGTGCATCAAGTTCTCTGAAAAGAAAATTTTTTGACCTTGTTCATGGCAAGACTCCTCAGCTAACTCCGGGTCCTCCTCCGGGGTCTGCAGCGTCGGCATTCATCCAGCAGATGGTGAACGTACCTGAGGCCATTTACATTATTAGGTTGGGTTTGGTTAGGTCAAGTTTGTCAGGAAACATCACATGGCTGTGACCCAAAGTGGGTCACAGTCATGTGATGACCCACACCCTGGAACTTTGGTCATCCTGACAAACACCTTCCACTTGTTAGTATATGCGTGACAATGGAACGATTTGTTGAGGAAATAAGCTTGTCGTAAAAAAATACTAGGACTTTGCAGTAACGTGAATTTTATTAATTATTAAAAATAAGCCCCAAATATTTTTACCTTTTCTAGCCTCATCCGTCGAATTTCCAAAATAGCGGAAATCCTCCTGGTTTCTATCTCTTCGTTTTCTTCCTCTTCATCGTTTTCTATCTCCTTCCCAGCTTTCATCTCGTTATCTTTTTTCTCCTTGTTCTTCTAGCATCGTTTTCTAACTCATTTTTTTATTTTCTAACTTCTCTCTTGATCTTTAAATTTCCTCCTGAAAAAAATCATATATATATATATAATATAAAATATATATATATATTATATATTATATATAAAAATTTCTAATAGTAAAATAGCGTGCCGATTGTAAAATGGTCATTAGCAAAAACTCATTTAAAATTAAGCCCTTTTCCCTAAATTGTTCTCTTAATACGTTTTTTAAAGATAGATTTTTTTCATTAATGTTAATTAAAATTTTATAATTTTGCTCAAAAGATCTTAGAAAAACTTACCTAACTTATTTAAACAAAGAAAAATTTATTTAGCCTAACCAACTAAATATTTTTAATTTGTTTACAATAATTTTAATATAAACAAACACAGTGAATATATTTTTTCGTTAGGTTCAGAATGATTTTGGCGAAATTTTGCATAAAAAAAATTTTCGCTTGCCCTATTAGGAAAAAGGAGCGTTGCTATTTAACCTAGTGCAAGTTCTCCTTTTCGGCCCACGACATACATAAAGGGTTGTGTGGTGTTGTGTGTGTGTTGTGTGTGTGTGGTGTGGTGGTGGTGTGTGTGTGTGTGTGTGTGGTGTGTGTGTGTGTGTTTTGGGACTCACCTATTTGTAACTCCCCTATTTGTGGTTACAGGGGTCGAGTCCTAGCTCCTGCCCGGGCCTTTCTTCAACCCGGTTCTACTAGGCCTCTCTTCCCGCTCCATGAGCTTTATCAACCTCGCTTAAAACTGTAAAAATGGTCCTGCTCCACTACTCATTTTCTAGGTATCCATGCTTAAAACTTGACGAAGAAATACTCCTACTATCCTCTGATCATTGTGTCTTAAACTTCCAATTGTGGCCTTTGTTTCTGTGTCCCCTCCCTGGAAATCCTGTCTTGTCCACCTAGTCTATTCCACGCAGTATTTTTATGTCGTTATAATGTCTCCCTGACCCTCTGTCCTCCAGTGTGGTCAGGCCGATTTCCCTTAATCTTCTATGGACATCCCCTTGCTCTGGAACTAACCTTGTCGCAAACCTTTGTACTTTCTCTAGTTTCTTGGAGTGCTTAATCATGCGGGGTTCAAAAAGGTGCTGCATTACTCCATTGGGCTGCATACCGGTGTACATGCTTGAATGATCCTTACAAGTATCGGAAGTTGTTCTCAGGTTTGCCGGGGCCCTTATGTGCACAGTTATCTGATTAAAGTGTGCTTCGGAGACATGTCGGTGTTATACTCAACCCAAGATCTTTTCCTTGAGGAGGTTTGCAAGTCTTTGGCACCTGGCATACTCTGTCTGTGGTCTTCTGTGCCCTCCCCCATTTTCATAAACTTTGCATTTGGCCAGGATTAAATTCGAGAACCCATTGGCTGGACCGGGTGTCTCTGCCCAGGTCTCTTTGAAGCCTGCCTGGTCTCATCAGATTTAATTTCCTCATTAACTTCACATACTGGCAAACAGGGACAACTTCTGAGTCTAACCTTCCGTCATGTCGTTCACATATACCAAAAATAGCACGGGTCCTAGGACGACCCCTGTGGGACCCGGGCTGTACAGGTGCCCACTGTGTAAAATATTACGTACCATGACTCGTTGTTGCCCCCTGTCAGGTATTTCTGACCATTGCAGTGCCCTTCTGTATATGCATGATGCTCTAGCTTCTGCACTAATCTCTTGTGAGGAAACTGTGTCAAAGGCCTTCTTGCAGTCCAAGAAGTTTGCAATCAACCCACCCCTCTCTCTTTTGTCTTTATTCTTTTATTTATCAAAAACTCCGAAGGTTTGTGACACAGGATTTGCCTTCCGTGAATCTGTGCTGGTTGGCATTTATACTCCTGTTCCGTTCAAAGGTGCTCCCCACTCCTCCTGATAATCTTCTCCATAATATTGCATACTTATACACTCAATGACACAGGTTAGTAGTAGATGCCTTTTCTGTCTCCTTTATTTAAAATGGTAACTACATTTGCAGGTTTGAATTAACACAAGGTATCCCATTTCTGACTAGGGATTTGTTGAAGATTTTGTTTTGGCAAAGAAATTTTTTCTCTTTAGGACCCTCGGAGATTGTTGAGGTCACATTGCTTTAGTATCGATGAAAAGTTTCTCTCTTCCCTGACGTCCGTGATGGTGTCAGCTTCACTCAGTAAGCTGCCACCTCCTCCTCCTGTATGCCTGTAGCCAATGTTGTTATTCGCTGGTGTCCCTCTGATCTGCCCCCAAGAGTCCTACGATCTAACTGTAAATTACTTCCTTACATCTCTGTAACTCCTTACAAAATTCTTAAAGTTTCTTAGTAGGTACGCAAACCTTTAACAGCTTATCACCAGGCCATGGGAATGTAATTTTACCTCCTAATGTCGCACTTCAGCGTTTCGTCAGATTTGTAATTTTGCAAGAGGCTACATATTTCGAGAAAAGTTCTTGGCGGCCTCATCCTTATTGTTCATCACGTTCTGATTTTACAAATTGTTTGTTTCCTGTCCTAGTGCCTCTGTTACTTTTGCATTCCTGTTGCAGTGTTGCTCTCACCCTTGGGGAACCAGGGACCGTTTTGGTCTGTTTAATCCTTCCGTTGGTAACATAAATTTCAGTGCTTAGTGCCTGGTTGCTCCATATCCAATCATCGCTTACTGATTTTCGTTCCCATTTACTTTCCACTGAATTCGCAGATCAACTCGGTGTCCCACCATATTAATTTTGGCTGTCCCTCAGTCTGTTACCTTTCCCACATGTAACTATACTAGTGTCAAAACTCAGAACACAATGTTCGCTAGCTCCCAAATGCCTCATAAGTGTTCTAATGTCTGCAATCTGCGGGCCGATGAAACTACAATACGTTGTGCTGGCTCATCCTCCCAATTCTCTGGTGTTCCCTGACATTATGCATAAAGTTTGTAAGTACCACACAATCATGGTTGCCCCATGTAATTCGGGACCCCATGTGGTCCGGGTTTTACCAGTCGGTTCCCTGTGGTGAAATCGCCACATACAGTAATTGCTCTGCTCAATGTGAGTCCACTTGTAACATACAAGTGTATCCACCATCAACCTGTTGTTTTCCCATCTTAATATCACATAGGTTAGCAGCAAGTTCGTGGTGGTTACATCACTCACAATTATGTACGCACAATGTTGGTGTTCTCCGGATGAACTTCACAAGTGTAGTCTCTTTCTCAATCATGTCTTCCCTCCATTTCTCATCCCATCGTGTTTTATGAGCAGTGCTGCCTCCCTTCTAATCCTTCTATCTTTCCTCAGGATCTGATGTCTGTTCGCAAATGAATTGTACGTCTGTTATTGCTCAGTGGTGTTAAATTATAACTGCTATGTGTTGCGGTTATTTCCACTGATGTTTCTCCCCCTCATGTATTCATTATTCATCGCTTTTATGTTCCCAAATTAATCCATTTATCATTGTGGTCAAGCAAAATAGGGGTTGGGGTGCGAGAGCCTGGTGGGGTATATGCCGGTGTAAGC